TAATTTCGTATACTCAAACTTTCAATGTACATACGAGTATATGCTTTCAGTATGTATATAATAGAAAATTTTCGAAAATTCATACTAATTTTAACTGGTTGCAAAATGAATTAATAGTGAATTGAGAAAAAAAACCCTCCATCTAAAATGACTCATACAAATTAACGTGTAATCGCATAACGATTTTACTCAACAAACTCAACTTTTTATGAAATTTTTAAAATATTTAATTTTCATTTTGAAAAAAAAAAATTTAGTTAGTCATCATTAAATTAAATTTAATAAATTTTATTGAAATCTTTATTATTTTAATGTAAAATATAATAACACACAGTTTTTTTTCACCATGTTTACATTTATTTTTATATTGAAAACTGGATGTTTCACTCCAAGTAAATGTTAATTAATTGAAAATTGAAAATTTATGCTTAATTTGAATATGGAATGTAAAAATTTAGAAATTTTATTATAAAATTTTAAGCGTTATTGTAGTGTGGCTTTTGTTAAGAATACCAGTAAATTAAAATATTTTATAGAAATAAATTAGGCCATTAAAGAGAAAAAGAATTGTATAGATGAGTTTTACACTACTCCGTCCAAAAATTTGAATTACTGTGAAATTACTGTGAAAACCTTCGTTATTTTATTTATAAGATGCAATCGGTAACAAGTGATGTGAATAATTGGTGATAACATAAAATATTGTGACGTGAAACTTTTGTGATTTCAAGTAGTGTAATTAACAGTTCATGCCCTATTGTTCAGTTTTTTGAATTTAGTATTTTTCGTATTTTGAATTTAGTATTTCTTAGTATTGTTTTTTGGTTAAAAGTGTTGTTTTTAAATTTTTTCAATTCGTTTCAATATAAGACTGTGAATTACTTAACAGTTGCTAATTATTAATTTAATATTAAAAAAGGTTTGTGTTAATTATTAGCAATTTTCGAAATTCTCTCACATTTCATAATATTTTTACGAAAGTGTTCATAAATTACATTGAAATTTATTATCACTTAAACGATATACTCTGTATATGTTACGTATATCATTAAAATTACAAAGAGCAAAACATAATATTTAAGTTAAAATATGAAAGTGAACGTTAATTAATGATTTCTCACGATTATTTAATCTTCTTATTTTATTGAAATGATATATGCGAAGCATCATTATTGCAAAGTTCATTAAACAACATTTTACACTTATTACGTACAAAGGGTTTGTTTAGATGTTTTTTTTTTCTTTTTTTCCTTTTTTATTAACAAAATTGATGCTCCCAATATATTATGACCATTTATAATTGATATATATGGAATAAAAGGAAATCAAACAACCCGAAGTAATAAAAATTAGTCGCATTATATTACTTGGATAAATCAAAATAGCCAAGAGCGAATACCGATCGAATACCGAATATGGTTAATAATAAAAGTTAGGCAATATTATTTTTCTGTTTTTTCAAGATTAATGAATTGTGTTAAAGTTAACTATTATTTCTATATATTATATACATATATATGCTTTATGGGAATTGATTATAAAATTAATGAATAAATTCATAAGAAGAAAAAATATATAGAGAAATAAAATTAAAAAGAAAATTTTAAATGTTTTTTTTAAAATTTGTGTTAGGTAATTTGATAATTTTTGCTTTGAAAAACACTTTTTGTTTTTTTTTATACAATAAATCGTATAACACTTAAGTTAAAGAGATGAGCAAGTTAAATATGAATGGTCAAAAGAAATAGAAAATTAAAAGAAATTTAGGTTAAGGTTAAATTTGAATTTTTATTGACCACTCTGCTCTGCAAATTGAAAACTATAAAAATGTTAATTTTGTTTTTTTTTTAAAACATTATATTTTTTTCTTAAAAAAATCAATTTGTTTTAAGTTACTTTGTTTCTGTCTTTTAAGTTTAAAATTCAATAAATTATTAAAATTAACAAATTTTTTATATTGAGAGATTTGCGTCAGTGTTACGCCGAATTTAACTCGAATTTGCTAAAGACCGTAACAAAAACAATAAAAATGATAATTTTTATAAAATTCAATAATTTCCAAATTTAAATAATCGCTTTAAATTTTGCAAAATAATTCCCTTTTGCTTTGTTTTTAGTATTTAAAAAATTTATTGCTGTGACAGGAAAATTTTCTAAAATGGAAAATTACAATATAATAAAATCGGAGGGAAGATTACAGTCTTAAAAATTTAGTTTTCAAATTTTACTATTTAATTAACCTATGCGTTTAACAAATTTTTCCTATGTAATTAACCTATGCGTTTTAAATTTACACATTTAATATTAATAATATACCACAATGTAGTGCCCCAAGATCCTGAAAAAAAATGTATCTAAAAATATATTAAAATGGAAACGCTGTCACTATGTTTTATTTCTTTTAATTGCCGAGATGCTCTGCTTACATAACAGTAAAATATTTTTTCTCTCTTTATATGCTTACTTCAGAGATAATTCGAAATTGTTAATATTTATGTACTTAATATTTATGTTGAAAAATAAGAGGTAATTAAGCAAAATGAAGAATTGTGAATTAATTATTATTGTGAATTAAGGATATTTGAGAAAATTAACGCAGTTTTCATAAGCAAGCTTTCATAAAGAATGTACTAAATTATAATTAACATGTGCAACTACAAAGCATTCCGAATTTTATCAAATTTTAGGGTAATTTCAATCGTGTGGCCGAATAATTTAATGATCGCTTTAATGTGGTTTTTGCTATTTAATTTTGATAAATGCATTTCGGATGCATACAAATTAATGTGATTCAATTAATTAACTTTTTGTTTAACAATTTTAATTGCACATGCACATATTCCTATATGCACATATATATATATATATATATGCATATAGGAAATCCCAATGTTATTTTAATAAATAATGTAATTGCAAAAAGAAAGTCAACGGACCAAATTATTTGATTCTTTTGAAAACCAGTTTCCACCGAAGTTCTTCTTAAAAATCTCAATCATTTCAATATTGATTACAATTTAAAGTTTAAAATATTCATGATTTATATTATGATTTAAAAACAGATTAACTTATTGACACATAAATTGAAAAATTCCAGTATTTCAAATTTTTTTCACTACTACTAAATTTAATTTGCCCACAAAAAAAAAAACTTGCTCCCCATATTAAAATAAATAATTAATTTTTAGTTTACAATAGGTTTTTTTTTAGTTTAACGAAATTAAAAGCTATTATATAAAAAAAAACTATTTTAAAAAATTCACAAGGCTAAATAGCGCAAAACAGGCTAATAAAAATGCAAACTGCAAAAAATTTCTTAAATGCCCTCAAGATATACACCACTTTTTTTGCTTTATCTGTTTTTAAGATGTTTTAATCAAATTGGATCAAACTAGTGAGTTTTTAAGAAAATACAATTGAACATATCGTGGTATTTTTAACTATAACTTGTAATTAGTCAAGTTTACATGAAAAAATATTTTCTTGTTTTGATTTCATTTACCACTTTTAAGTTAGTGCACTGTGTAAAATACAAGGAAGGGAGGTACTATTGCGAGTTAAAATTTGCTAATTTGACATTTTAACCAAATTTATTTCTGCAAATATTTTTGGAATGATAATTCAGAAAATTATAAGTAATTGTGTTTTAAAGAACTTTGAAAAATATTTAAAATGTTTGTTTGATGCAACACTCATGTATAAAATACAAGTTTGATTTTAATTTGAGTCTAGACTCAAATTAATTTTGGTAACTCAAAGCACTTTTAGAAACTCAATTTAATGAATGAAATTGGATACTGTTCAAGACTCAACTTATTCTCTCAGATAGAGCATGTTGTGGTAATTTTAGAATTAACACCTTATTATAAAGCCGGCCGCAAGAATCAATTTATATTTGCATCAACACCATGTGATAAAAATTAAAATGATTTTGGGTCACACTGTCCTACGTTATTTAAAACACATTCAAAATTTTTGGAGTATGTAAACTATTTTTTTCTTTATATTGCATAAAATACATATAAGTATGAAATCATTTCTTTTATACGGAAATTATTTTTATCTTTGCATATACAACTATAAAATGTCGACATTCCTATTAAACAAAATTTGAATATATATTGAGTAATATTTGAATGTTATATAAAATTAACAATATAAACGGTCATTACGGTAAAAAAAATAAAATTAAATTCAAATCGTATTGAATTGAATACAAGGATATAGTTAGGATTTATTGAGAACGTCAAATGTGATACCATTTATATTATTGAGTGTTTAGCAAAAGAGAAACCAAAATAAAAAAAAAAATTAAAGTCAAATTTAGGAAGTCAAAAAACTGTTTCAATTTTAACAAAATAATTTAGATTTCCTTATTAGATGTGGAGACTTTCGGTTTTCAATACAATTTGATTCAAATCGTAAAATTTAGATCATAATTAAAAAATCTTCCGGATATTTTAATAAACAATTTCAACAACTTAAATAACAATGTAATTTTACGGTTTTTGTTTGTTTAATAGCAAATAACGGAAGTAAAATTAATTTTCTTGGATAATTTTTAAACAAAACTTTTTTACAGTTGAATTGTAAGCGTTATTATTCGTCAAATTCATTCATTTTGAAAAATTTTTTTAACTGCATAAATATTTTTTGCAGATCTTCTTGAATTATTCAAAATTTCAATAGGGTTGGGGTTCAACAAGTCAACTAAACCACCTGCCATACCTAATAACCTATAATCTACCAATAAATGACTGGATCCCAATGAATACTATTTGCTACACCTTATAAGTATGATATATCCTTAAACAATAACGTAATCTACTATATAGGAGGATTTTATACTTTTGCCCAATTTAACTATAGGTTCCAAACCAGAATCGAATGTCGTATTTATTGTTGCAAACTACTAATGTACTAATCCAATTTTTTTTTAAATTATAAAATTTTTCTTGTATAATATTATTTTATTTTAATTTCTTTTTATAAAATTTCAGGAATTGGATGTTCTGACATTAGGTGATGAATCAGAAATAAATGAAAGAAATAAACGGACTATTGGTATATTAAGAGATTTATTCCCAGAAATTAGTAAGGTAATTTGAAAATTTTAACTATAAATTAAACATATCGTAAAATTTTATAATTTATATTTTTTATATAGAAATATTTTCAAAAATTTCATTTTCTCATCGTTTATCATTTTGACCAAAGTTTTGCTATATAACTTTAATGGCTGAATCTTAAATTTAAATTGTTGTTGAATCTTAAATTTAAGCAGTTGAGGACCCTAATTTAAACTATATTCTTTTGTTTGATTGCTATATGAAAGTAAATTAATAATAGCTTGTGTGTTCCAGTTCTCAAGCATTGTATTTTTCAAATTAAATCGAAACTTTTACGAAAAAAAAATTTTAAAAATCAAACCGAACAGTTAATATTATCTATGACAATAGATATTATTTGTTTTTCAAAATTTTCGTAAATCAAAATATTTTTCATCTATGGTAAATGTCATTCAGAAATAATTTTTGTTAGTTGATGGGCCACAATTACATCGTTTATGTTGAAATTCCAAATGTACTTGAAGCCTACTTTACGTTCATGTACATATATATAACTTGACTTGAAGCCGGTTTCACTCAAGTCAAACAAAAAATTTTGTTTACTTGACTTGAAATGTTGAACAAAAAGCACCGCTTGAATGTTTGATAGCTTGAAAATGACAGAACGTATTTTTCTGTCACAAATTTTATATTGTATTTTTATTCTGAAGCTAGACGTCACTGTCGATTTTGTTGATTTATTAAAAATCGATTGCAAACGTATAGATTTTGTAAAACGGAGCTACAATCGACGTATGTTAAATGAGTTTTCCATGTAGAAATGTGTTGAAATGCATTCGAAATAAACCGAAGTAATTTTACTTATTATTAAATACGTTGTTTTTGATAATAAGTAATTGAAACAAATTTTAATTGAACTTCTTGATCATTTAATTATTGCATTTTAAATTTAAAGAAACTCTGGAGTAATTGTTCGGGAAACAATTACATTAATTTGTTCATATGTTATTTTGAATTCAAATTGACATTAACACAATTAAAATGTATAAATTAAATTATTCCACTCCATTGCGTAATAAAAAATTATATAGTCTGTCTACGAAAAATAGGACATAAAGAAAACTTTATCACGTATAACTAGTGATTCATTTTTCAAGCTTAAACAACTACACACATACATTTAATTAAAAAACTTTTACTATGCTTGACGCGTACATTTTTCTTCATTTTTCTAAGTCGTCAATATTAATGATTACTGTAACTAATCTGGAATGAATGAAACTTGTAAATTACATGATTATTATGTTAGTCGACATATAGTGTGTAAGTTTTTGACATGGAATTTTATAAATGTAAAATTAAAATATTCATAAATTACAATATTGGTTTATTTGCATAGCAATAAATTTTCTTATTATGAGGAAAGCATTTGATTTGACATATTCATTTAATATTCAAAAAGACGTTTTTCTTATGTATGCAGAATGCAATGTTATGGTAAATTATTGGGTGAGTTTTGATGAGATTTTAATTCTGACGTTGTTTTTGCTTGGTGTGTGTGATATTTCTATTCACTCTCAATTTAATTAGCTGAGAAGTAGTTGCGAATATTTAGCATGAGGTGGTCTTGATGCTTTTGTATAACGGAAATAAATGTCAAATTTTTGATGATCACAATTTTAGTTTTTACATTCGTAAAAAACAATTGGCATTCCACCTTAAAATTATTGATCAAATTTTCATTTATAATTTCTATACTCTTTTGTTCCATTTTCTGTTGTCGTAACGTAAAGGTAAATAATAACGATTTCCCATAGTTCGTGCATGATTAAGTTAAATTTTTTTTTCATAACAGAATTATGGATGATTTTAATCGAAAAATCGTGTTTGGCGGTAAAGTCTTTTTTTTTGGTGAATGGATTTGACAATGGGCATGATTATCGAATATTGTTCGATAAGCATATTTGTTTAAAAAATTGCAAGAGTAGATGTTATACATGCAGAAAAATGTTCGGCTTGGTGTTTTTAAAAACAGATCTTGATTGGAATGATTATTGATTGGAATGATTATAGTATTGGAATGATTATTGGATGAAAATATTGATTGGAATGTTTATAGTACCCGCTGTCAATCTGTTGAGGTTTTGACATTTAAAAAATTTTCCAATATTAAATATTAGTTTTAAATATTTCTTAATAAAAAGTCAATTCAGCAATTTCATTTTCCAAAATAAAATATTTAATTTGATTAATTTTAATTGACACATTAGGGGGGTTGAGCTAAACTCACTACACATGAATACACCGCAATCCAATAATGTACGTTATATTAATGTGTCTAGATATATATTGTATATTTTTAAATACTAACATACTAGGCTTTATTATGTGTAACACATTCACATTTTTTGATTTTATCAACGAAAATTATAGTTGCAGTTTTGTTATTTTATTGCTTTACAATTTGAAGTTTTAGTTTGAGGTTATTAAATATCTAGAAAGTAGTTTTTATATACGTGCATACAATACCAACATTATTTACCCCTAATTTTTTTAAATTCTTTGTTTTTTAACTATTGACCAAACAAGTTTTGTGTAAAATGCAAACCACTTACGTGTTTGTATGTGTGCATTATAAATTGCAATGTTTTTTTATACATTTGGCTAATAAAATTAATACACTAATAACGTTTTTAATTTTAGAGAGACATAGGCATTTAAATTTCAGTATACAATAAATAGGTATTAAAAATGTGTCAATTCGGGTGTAATTTAAAACTCACATTATGTGCTGAGTCATGAATAACGCACCTTAATTTTTTAACAATTAAATGTATAATTTAATTTAATTTGGTTGACAATAATTTTTTAAATATTTTGTGATTTATTATAAATTGTCAGGTTGTCTTGTAATTCTAAATTACCAAATATTTTTAATATAAGTAAAATCTCTTGCATTATTTTTATTCTTCAACATATTTTTCATTATGAATACAGCATTTTCATAATTTTGTAAAATTAAAGAAAAATACAAAATTTATTATAAACAAAATTATTTCAAATCTATTCTAAAAAAAAAAAAAAAAAACAACAACCTGGAAAATTTATAGCAAGTTGAAGACCAAGTAAACAAACTCGTAGCACAAGTGTTAAGAGCTGTCGGTCCAACAATTTTACGTACAGCTATACAAGGTAATTCTGCACGGCGTACATCACCAGCTGATGATTTTGATGCTGATTTCGATGAAGATGATGAAATAAAAGATGATGATAATGATACTAAAACAAATGCAAGCAGTAGCAGCCCAAGCAGTTCTAATAATAGTAATGATTTAGCTACACGTATAAGTGTAGAATTACCAACATTTAAACCAGATGAAGATGATGATAAAGATGATGATATTACCAATGATGTTTCAAACAAAGATTCAGAAGATCCACCCAAAAATAATGGTGGTAATGATACAAAAGTGAGTCCTGCAAAGTCTACTACTACTACATCTAGTTTAAATATTTCTACTACTACTCCCAGTACTACTACTACTACTACTACTACAACTACTATAAGTACTACTAGTAATAGTAATGAAATAGATAATAATGATTATACTACTACTACTCTTAGTACTACTAGTACATCTACTATAAGTTCTAATATTTTATCTTTGACAACAACAACTGAATCACCACTTCGTAAGAATAATAGTACGATTACTGTACAAAATAGAATTATAGAAGATAATACCACACCAATTCCTAATAGCAATAATAATAATGAAAATAGTAATAATACTAATAGTAATAATGAAAATAATTTTAATATTAATGAAAATATCAATTTTAATAATAATTCAAATTCTAATAATAATAATGGCAGTGATCGTACATATTTCTTAAGAAGTTTAAATTCAGATGTTGATGCAGATGAAGTAATACAATTAATTGATAGAATTATAACACAATTAAACGCTACAAATAATGGTTTTTTTATTAGTGATCTCATCAAAAATAACAGCAGTGATAATAATAGCAGCAGCAACAATAGTAGCAGTAACAATATCAGCAACATTATCAACAACTAAAATCAAAATCAAAATTCAATCAAAAAACATAACAATAAATCAAATAAAGAAATCAATCAAAAATAATATAATTAATAAAACCAAATACATAAATATTATATTCATGAAGCTGCAGTATATATACAATGTTAAATTTGACTCTTGCATTTTATAACATAAAAAAAATATTGAAATTACCTACCTATATTTTATATATGAAATTATTGACGAATATATTGATTGAGTTTTAAAATTGACGATAAAAATTGATAAAGGGAATTTCATAATATTCGTTCATGTATTTTTTCTTTTCGTTAAATAATTTGCCATATTTTTCTTTTTCTTTATTAATTTTCAACTAAGTTTCAAATATCTTTCTTACTCTTTTTTTTTCCATTAATTTCGCACACATTAAAATAATTATTTGATATTTAAAATGACATTCATAATAATGTTAAGAAATTTATTTATGATTATGTATAAAATGTCAAATTAATTTTGAAGCAATTAGAAATGTTAAATTAATTTTGACATTAATGGCAGTACTATGCATAATTTGTTTTATATTTTATTTTATTATATTAAATTTATATTACATTTTATAAACCAGTTCTTTTCAAATTCTAATATAAGATATATGTATTAAATTAAATTAAATTTTAATATTTACATAATGTTAAATATTTATATAAATCAGAAAAAAATTAAAAAATTAAAAAAAAAAAACGTTAAAATAGTAAGTAAGTCGATTCCTTATAAGCAATTTAATCTCTTCTTCTGTAGATTCTTCCTATCTCTAAGAGACTTTTAAAATATTTCACTTCTATTCTATATAATTTTTTGTTCTCAATACTCTCTGTATTTACATAATATGTCATTCTATTTCTCTATATTTTACTTTAATTTTGTATTTACAAGTATCTTATTATGAATTACTACTAATGTTTAGTAATCTTATTTATTGACTATATTATTTATTTATTTTTTTTTGCTAAAAATTTTCTAATAAAATAATTAGAATATTAAACGTCATTTTTATCATGTCGCATATTTTTTTCATCATTTTTCTTTCTCTTCCAAATTGACAAGCTGTCAGTTTGATTGATCATTGTAGAAAACTAATACTTAATTAAATAAATAATTTGTGTGGATAATTCGAGGATGAGAAAATGATTAAAATACCTATGCTCGTATTAATTCGTAACTATTAATTCGTTCGAATCGAAAATTTGTCGCTAGATTTGATTACTTTTCTTAGTAATCAATTAGCAACAAAGAATTCAACATAATTATGGTATAAATCAAAGTTGAATATCCTTCTTGTCTGATCTATCATTATTGCCGATTATTAAAGCAATTATGTGTCGTGTTTCTGGCTGACTGTTAAAGCATTTTACTAAAATACTTAAAATTTCTACTTATATGAAAATTACCCATACACAATATAATTTCCCAAATAGTAATCGTGTCGCCCGAATTTATGCAATATTTTCTGGTTACTTACTAATTTATATTTTTTAAGTGAGTGATATGAAAATTATTGGCTATTTCTTTCATTTTTATCATTTTCTCACATAAAATAATAAGAGAATTGCCACATAGTCGTTATTTATTATTAAATAGATTTCTTCACATATAAACATTTTTTTTTTGAAATGTAGTTTTAAAAATTATAGTGTTGTTAACAATATTGTCTACCATTTGCATTACAATTTGTGAAAGACATTGGGTTCTAAAAATTTTTTTTTTTTTTGTTTAAAAAAAGTCGTCATTGTAGATTATCGTTAACCAAAAAGACCTTAGTATAATACTCATTGACCACCATACCATATAAAAATCTTGTAATAAAACCGATTAAAATACTCGGAATTGCAAGACATTCTCATAAATTAGTGTTGTTGTTTCTTATTTTTTTTTTTGTTTTTATATTATTTTTATGTAATCTCTTTAGATATTTAATATATCTTAGAATTTTTCTGAAGTCATTACATTAAAATTCGCCTGGTAAAAAAAAAATTTATTTTGGAAATTAAACATACACAAATAATCTGTTCAGTTTTCATCTTAATGAATTTTCATAATATTGATGATATTATACTTCATTTATTTATTTTTTCGTTACTTATTATTTATATTAATAAAAATCTTATTAAATTCATTAAAAAAAAAAAACAAACTAAATAATATTTTATATGAAAATAAAATATGTCATAAATCTCATGCTTTTTACTTTTTCTTCTCTTTTCTCTTTTTCTATATTTTGTATTAATTTTGTAATAAAATAATTTGTAAATTGTATAATTTGAAATAACGCCTCTACCCTTAAACAAATTATATTATCTACAATGCACAAACACACACTACATTACAATCATTTACATTATAAATTGCATTCAAAATATATTCTCAATTTAAAATTCAATTGGACACACTTTTATATATATACATATACATTACTTATAAACATAAACCAACGAAACTTACAAAATACATTTATACAAAATGAACTGAACATCAATTTAACAATAAACAACGACGATTTAAATTTAAATTTAATTGGATTATTAAAAATTATAATCGAATTCCAACGAAAAAAAAAAAAAACCAAAATCCTTGAAAATAAAACAAAATTGTTTATGAATATAAAATTAAAATTTAACGAAAAAATTCCAACATAAATTCCATGATATGTTCATATGACGATGGCTGACTTTATTTTACTATATATATATACACCATTTGGTTACTCAACAAAACGTTAATGAAAAAAAAATCAGTTAACTGGTGGTGAAAATTCACTCGATTTGAATGCAATAAATAAACAATTAGAGGAGACAATACGTGTTGCAAGACAGACAAATCTTAATGAGAATGCTTTAGCGAATAGTATTAATAGTGAAGCTGTAAATGATGTACCAACTACGAAAACTGATCAACAAACATCGGAATCTAAAGCACCGGCAATCGATGAGCTTACATTAGACTCATTGGATGATGGGGATGATCGCAATAAGAGACAAGGGTTTGTAAAATTTCTTTTTTTCTTTTTAATTTATATTTTTTTATATTGTAAAAAATAAAAGCTAACTTTTTTAAATTTAATAAATTATAAATAATTTTATTTGAAATTAATATTCTATTTTATTTTTATTTGTAGATTATTTGGCGGTGGAGGTGGAAGTGGCGGTGCTGGTTCCGGTAATTTTCTTTTCGATATTATTAGAGTAAGTATAATTGGACTTTAACAATATTTCGTTTTCAAATTCCCATTTGATTGTTGAATATTGAACTTAACGAAACCAAAATGTCAATGAGAAATAAATTCATGAAAGCATGAATTTATTTTGATAGTTTACATTAATAAAAGCGGAAATATTTGGAATCATTCTTAAATTTTTACTTGAAGAACAATTAATACTATTCAATATACTTCGTTAAATAATGTAACAATTATGACTTTCGTTAAGTTTAATTCATTTATTTATATTACATAAATTTATATTATTTTGTATATTTATATTTTTTAATTAATTGAAATTTCTATGAAATTAACATAATTTTGTTTACAATCATATTATATAATATATTATATTAAATTTTTGAATGTTAACGAAACTTGACTGATTAAAAAAAAAAACAATTACTACATAAAATTTACAATATACTTTATAACATACACATATGAAACCATATGAAACATAAATACTTATAACAAAATAATTAGAATACAACAAAAATGGCTGGACAAAAAGCTTTTGACAAGATAAATGGAAAAAGTGAAAATCAAAGGATTTCTAATGAAAATGGATACGGACTGGATAATACGTATAGATTTAATTTAAATCATGAATTGGATGATGATTACGATGGTTACAATTTAAATAGGAATGCATATAAAAATTATCATGAAAATGATTTTAAGAAAAATTCTAAACAAAGAACAAAATTTTCAAATTCAGGGGTAATCCAATTTTTTTTTCTCTTTTTTTCTTCAAAATACTTTTAAAACAGTTTTAAAGGGGAAGAAAATGGAATATGGAATATAAAATATGTTCGAATTTATTTTAAGATATTTGGACAAAATTCTAAAAAAATTTTTTTTATACAAAAATAAGACTTGAAGTCAAGAATTTTATTCGCTTATGAAATTTATGAATGGCAAGGGTATGCTATAAATAAATTTATACCTATACATATTTATGTAGGTATGGGACACAACTTCTGGAATTACATATTTAAGAATGATTGTATAGATACACAATTCATATTTTACAAGAAAATATTTAAAAATATGTTTAAAGAAATGATATTTTTCAACTTTGCTTAATTCTCAAATATTTTATTTAATTTGTAAATAAGGTGTAAAAAAAAGAGAGATTATTACTTAAAATATTCTTAAACTCTAAATTATTTTTCAAAAGTTCTGTATAATATTCCTAATAAATTTTGCTTATACATATGTCACCTGACTTTGCTTATAGGTAACGAATATTTTACTGAAAACACGAACTATATTTTACTCAATTACTAACATTGTTCTCATTCGGAGAACCATATTAACGTATACAACGTATACCGATCATACACTGTTTTATTTCTGAACAGACGTTGTATTATTTATGTAGTCATATTTCGCTAATAAAAAGTATTTTGTTAACCGTGTTGTATCGTATAGCTTACAATTTTTTAAATATGCTCGGAAGACATTAAAAACTTCTTAAACTACAAATCTACGCCTAATGTTAATTTGCGGTATTTCATTTTCGTTTTAGTAAATTGCTAATAGTGATAACATATTTTTTTGGTTCAAAAATATTATTACTGTTTCCGAGACTCTGATTAGATCAAAGGGATGTCGAATTTTTATACGCAAAATAAGATTGCGGCATGACGTTATAATTTTATTATAAATTTGTTCTAAATATTTTTTAATCACTATTTAATGCTCACATGAATTATATAATTTGTATAATTGTGAATACACATTACATATAAGACGTTGGTGCGAGCTTTTACGATGTATAATATAAATATTTCATGTATAAAAATTTCCAGTGTAAAAGAACGACAGTCAAGCTTACATTATAGTATTAAATATAACATTATATAATAACATTACAGAATAAAAACTAAGAATCACAAGATTATCTTATGCCACATGCAATGTACATAAATCTATTAAAATATTTTCAAAAATTAAAATATTCAAATATATTACAATATATCTCAATTATATCTTGTAAAATTATTTACACAACAAAAATAGTAATTATAACATTATGTACATTTATACTGTATAATACTTGTATATTGTAAAAAATTTTATAAATTCTTATTATATAATTATGTAAATTTCATTCCAAATATTAATAAAATAGCTATTTGGTAAGTTTTTTTTTTTTCAAAAATAAAAACACAAAAATGATTTGTAATATTTTTTTTATAAAGAAAATATTTGTAATATATTTTATTTGTATAAATGAATGTAACATATAAGTAATAATAACATATTTGTATAATAATAAATATATATGTTTTTATTAATTTACAATAATATTTACATTCAAAAATTTTTAATACCTACTTTATTCTATTTTTCTCTCACTCTCTCATTTTCAAAAAAAAAAAAAACAAAATATATGTACAGTTATTCTCTGGTAGTGTTCAATCACAAGGTACCGGAAGTAGTGGTTCAACTGATACAGATTCATCATCAAATTCAGATGATGATGATGATAATGATAATGATGATAATAGTAGTAATAATGCTTATACTGAAGGTATTCCTGGACCAGTAACAAGATTAGTTGTATTAGCAAATCGTGGTCTAGCAAATCTTATTCAAGATTTAATATTGGTATGATTTTTTAATTTATATTAAATTATAATTTAATTAATATATAAAATTTAATATTAATATTGTATTAATTTGTTTTTTTTAGCGTATTGCTGCTACCAGTGAAAGATTAGTCAACTTTAAGGCAAGACTTATTACAGCATTAATTTAAATTTAATATACATTCGGTATTCATGTATATACATAAAAAAAAAAAAAAAAAACAAAATTTTAAAATAAAGTGTTCTTCCATTTTTAAAACTATAAACTAAAAAAAAAAAGAAACAAAAAATGAATTATTAAACTCGCTCACAAGAACAACAAAAAAAAAACAGAATAGAAAAATTTTCATTACATTTCAGTTGATTTTTTAAATTTTCCTTCAAATACTCATACCTTTTCTTTTTTTATAAAAAAAAAAAACGAAATAAAATTTAAATTTTAAAATCTTATTTAAAATTAAAAAAAAAAAATTATTTTTTTTTTAGTTCATATTTATTATTTTTTTTTTTTTAATTTTTTGCAATGTAAATTAATGAAGAAGAAAAATTGATGTTTAGAAAAATGTAGAAAAATATAAAAATGTTGACAAAAATTATGTATTTAGAAAATAATTTAGATAAAAAATAAATAAACATATAAATTATATTTATGTATGTATATATTTATATACAACTACATATATATTTTTGTTAGAAAAATTTTAGTAGTTGTAAATAATAATAATAATATTATATATAAAATACAATCAACAAAAACATACAGCAAACACTAAAACAAATATTAAAAAAGTATAAAATTTATTTAAAAAAAAAAATATTTTAATTTTTAGTTGTTTGTTTTTCCTCTATTTTTTTTTTAAATTTTATAACTCATTTTTATATTATTTATATACTATCTCTCTCTCTTACATACTTAATATAGTAAAATTTTATTTTAATTACTAACATAGTATTTTCATTAATTTTAATTATTACCCTAACCTTCTTTAAATAGAAAACTTCATAATTACACTATTTTTTTTTTTTATTTTTAATTTATAAAAAATAAAACAAACAAAAAATATCTTTATGACTTTTATAATTTTGTGTTCCTTATTAAAATTTAAATTCTTATTATTATTCTATTATTTTATATATAAATATATATATGTATATATTTATCTAAATGTACACTATCACTCATATTCTGGTAATAGGCGCATCACTTAAAGATGATGTGATAATTACTATTGAAAAATATTATGTGTTTCAATAATAAATTTCCAAATTCTGAAATTGATTTTATTCAGAAAATGAAAATATTTTTGAATAACAAGCCATCATGCCAAAGTGATGGACCTAACAGAATATGGGTGTATATTTAAAATTCTATATAAAACGATAAAAATTATAGGTAGAAAAAGAATATATTAAATATGTATGTGTAAAAGAAACAAAAATAAAAATGTAAAAAAAAAAAATTAATTATGATTTTAATAATTAAAAAAAAAATATTTAATAAAATAATATACTAAGGTGTAAATAGTTGTTAATTTCATAAATACATATATATATATATATATATATATATATATATATTATCTACTTTTTTTTTGTTGTAATGAAACTGCTTTATAATTTTAATATTATATAATATAAAACAATGTATACTATACAATGTAAAAATGAAATTCTATAATTATACTTTTTTTAATATGAAAATATCCATAAAATATTTTGACAAAATTATATTATAAAAATTTAAAAAAAAATATACTATCTCCTTATATAACTTATACTATACTTTTACAAATGAAAATTTTTAATATAAATTTGAATTAAATTCAAAAAAAAAATTATTTATAAATTTCAATTATTTTTGCTAGAAAAATATTATCACACTATATTTAAAATATAGAATTTGTTTTAAATTTTATTTGTTTTAAACTTAATAAATTTAAATTATTCTAAATTTTGCACATTTTCCTGCATAATATATAAATGAATTTTTAATTATATTCTTTAATATTTAATTTTAAAATTAAATTAAATTTTTAATTCAATTAAATATTTTCAAAAATCACAATTTCAAAGAAATACCGTATGTGGTCAGAGTTGCCAATTTTTTTCGATATACCGATATTATGATATACCAGTTGACAATATTAACATTCAGTAGAAACGCGTATCAAATTTATATCAATATGTAATTTTAAAATTTTCTGAATTTGTGAATTAGATGCATATACATATAATTTTTTAATAATGCACTATCAATAATATTTATTTCAATAAGTTTTGAGCTTCTTGAAATAAGAAATCTACTGGTTGGCATAAACTGTATAAAAATAATACAATTTTTTTTTGTAAATAATATTGTTTAAAAATACATATTATATTATTAGTTTAAATGAAAACTATGTGATTCAGACTTCCATCGAAAAAAACACAATGCCAACTGAAAATTTAATACACTTATTTTTGTCATTCAGTTGACATAAAACTTGGCAATTCTGTAGTTTGCAAAAATTTTATGTATATTACTTGGTCAAAATTAAAGATTGTACAATTACTTGGTCGAATTGAAGATTGTAAAATTTATTAGAAATTGTCAATCTGTAACTTTAAATACAAGGATAATTATACATAATATTTATGTTATAACACAAAACTGCACACACATACATATTTTGACTTGTTTGCCAGTCAAATTTCAATGAAAATGAGAAAAATTAATAAAATTTAATGAAACTCTCACAATAATTTAAAACATTAAATCAGTAAAATTCAATAACATTTAACCAATTTAAAACCAATTCTATATCAATTTTATATTAAAAAAATATTTTTGTAAACAAAAAAACCCTAAATTTTCTACCCAACACAAAAAATATTTTAATTTATTTAATTTATAATTTATAATTTAAATCTGTTATACTCAAATTTATTTAATTTTTTAATTTTGTCTTATTTAAAATATATACAAAAAAAAGAAAATTATTAATGAGAAAGAAAAAAAAGTATTAAATATTAAATTTCTTGCCTTTTTAACTATCAAAAGAAAAATAAAAAAAAACAAGTTTTAAAAATTAAATTTAAAAACAACAAAAAGAGCAACAAGAAATATGGATATTTAAATTTTAAATATTTAAAATTTTCTATAATTATAATTTATATTTTTTTTTTATTATTATTATTATTTTTAATATTATTAATGTATTATATAATATTATTTTCTTTTTACATAGAATATAATGACTGTGGTGTTTTTTTATGTTAAAATTTACATTTATATAGGTTATTAGTGTTTTCGTTGTTTAATAAAAAAAATGTCAAATATAATGAAGAAAAACTATACAAAAGTTAAAACCATAATTATTAATGGAACGAATTGAAATGAAATGAATACGTCAAATGAATAGAGTTTGTAATTTTGTTAATTTAATATAAAAAAAAAATTTTTAATTGACATATTTATATTTAAAGAAATTCTGACTATTGTAATATTACAGTTTTTTGTAAATGTTAATAAAATATAGTTGAAAATTAAATTATTTCAGTAGAACAGAGGTAACTTTGAGTTCTATATTGCAATAAATCATTAATCTTTGGTTTAAATTTTTTTATAATTATAGCACCAAGTAATAGAACTCAATGTTAACCATTATGAAAACAGTAAATAAGAGCTTGAGTATTTTTGAATTAAAAATCCCATTGCATCAAGTTCTATTTTTCTAAACTCTATTCTCTCATTCCATTTGATTAAATTATGGTTTTATATACTGAAAAAAAAAAAATGTGACAACATAAGAAACAAGTTAATTTTTAAGAAATTCTAATAAAAAACTAATACAAAAAAAAAAAATAAGTATAAAAAAATAAAGAAAAAAAAAATACAAGAAATGGTAGTCAAAGTTTTTTAAAAAAAATATAATAAATATAAAAAAAAAAGAAAAAAAAAGAATTAGAAAAGTCGATCCTTGTTTGGAGGTATGTTAACTATGTATATGTATACTTGTAATAATGTAATTTTTATTATAAATATGTATTATATAAAATTTTTCATTAAAACAATATTTCTTGTAAAAAGGAAAAGCAAAAATTGTAATTTCATGTTAAAAATAAGAGAGAAAAAAAAATAATTAAACAAACCTTTTTTTTGTAAAAATAAAAAATCTAAAAAAAGTGAAAAATTTCCAAAATAAATTAATAAAATTTTTTTGACAAGAATTATAATATTTGTTTTTTTTTTTTAATTTTTTTTTTATATAAAAATGCTCATCAGAAAGTTTTAGCCTATAAGAATGGAGTTTTTATGACAAGATGTACTAAACTACCATACTTACTTAAAACTCTGGGGATTTTTAATAATTCAGTTTTAACTTACGTCCAACATCATTTTCTAACTTCTTAACTCAAATAGCTTTAAAAATTGTGTTTCTTGAGTTTAAACACATTATTACAGAATAATTTATTTTATGGTGAGGTTTTGTGGCACAAATAAAATGTATAACAAAATTTCTACAAAATTTATAATTTGAGAAATTTATTATATTTTTAGTTGGTGGTTATTTTTATTAATAATAATTTATGTATAAATATCTTACATAATTTTATATATTATGATTTTTATGTACAAAAATAATTTTCATATTCTATATTGATTATTTTCTTTTCTCGAAGTAATATAAAAAGTATCAAAATATTAATTACTTGACTTAGCAGTCAACATATACAGAATCTCCCAATGATATTTTCCCCTCTGGCGATTTTAAACCTAAATGTATACCTAAGACAGGACTTTCACCTGTATATAAACTTCGATAATCTCTTAAAGTTTTCAATGGATTTCCATCTGGACTTTTAACTCCCGTTTCTGGATTTACAGTTGTAAATATACATCTAAAATAAAACATAACATTTAAAAATTTAATCAAAAACATATTATAAAATTATACAAATATTTACCTAGTACATGGTTTAACATTTCTAAATATCATATTATTTCCAATTTTAACCCATTTCCAATAATCCTCTTCATATGGTAATGCACCGCGAACAACTATATTTGGTCGAAAATGTAAAACCATTGCTGGATCGTCTAATCTTGTATTTAAATCGTTTAAAGAACTTTCATTAAATAACATATAACTGGAAGCATCGTGAAGTGCACCCTAAAATAATTATAAATTAGTGTAGTAGAAAAAGTATGAAAATATGATATAGAAATTTACTGAATCTTCCGCTAACATTGTATCGAATTTTTTATTCTTATCTCGAACTTCTCTACTTGTAATATCCTTAGGATAGAATACCAACCAAAGTCCAGATTCTTCACCCAATATAAAACGAGAAATCCATTTAGCAACATCATCACCACAATCTACACCATCAACAGATTGACCCCATACAATATATTTTTTTGGTGTTTTTTTATACAATTTTTCGATATCAATTTCAATATCAATCATTCCAGGTGCTGATAATTTCATTTTAGAACTGTTCTTTTCAATTTTTGGATGTATTAAAACTAAAGTGGGATGTTTTCGTGCAGTTGTAAATTCACCATTTTTTGTTACAACCATAAAAATTCTACAAAATTAAAAATATATGTACAATTACACTTATATAAAGTTTTTTTTTTCAAAATTCACAAACCTATCACGTAAATATCCATCAGCTGGACCCAATTTGGAACAACCAAATTCTGAAACTCTTATTGCTCCACATGATTTTATTGGGTAAACTATTAAATCTGTTACTTCTCCAACTTTTCGCCATTTGGTGGGTGGAATATTATTCAAATATTTTCTATGATACCAATAAGCAGTAGCTGCAGCTACTGTAGCAACACCGATTCCTGCAGCAAGTGCTACTGTAAAACGGGAATTTTCGGGTAATAAAAAACCTAAAAATTAAAAAAAGAAGAAAGAAGCATTAATTCATTATTTTGTATAACATAATAGTTTTTTAAAATCTTTGTATGTACATAAATAATTCTTAGTTAAACAAAATTAAAAAATATTTCAGACTCAGAGGCGACATGAGCAGAACAATAATTGTGTGAATACGAAATAAATAATTGGGTTGCTCAAACGTTTGCAATTAATTGACTTCCGCTAATGTCATATATGAGTCGCAGTTCTGAAATGAATGTTACTTGAGTTAAAAAGCGTTTGTTAGTTTAGTAAACATGATAGAAGGTCTTTAGCGTTTTCAAGTCAAATTCAAGACGTAGCAATATGTTATGAAACGGGAAGTTATAAATTATAATCACTTTCAAAATACCCTAAATCTCTTCAAGATGAATTTTTTTATTATTTTACAATTTCATTCTCATGTGTTTCTTATACACAAAAATGTTGAATTTTATATTTTGTTTGCAACAAAATTTTTACAAAATTGTGTTAATTTTTTTTTTATTATTAATTGTAAATATTTACATAGTTATGTACCTAAAAATTGAAAATATTTATGTATACACACGTGTCGGGTATTGTGTAAGATATTTTAAAAATATTTTTTTTTTTCATTTTAATTTGACACGACAGGAGGAAAATTCTAATACCTAAATATTTAAGAATATCCGAATTTATTGATTTTGAAATCTTTGTGTATATTAATAATAAATTTGTAATTATTATTTAAAATTGACATGTCCAACATCTGTAAACTTATAATTGTACTTTAAATAAAATTTTGTTCTTTGAATCATATAGATATTTACATAATAATGAATTTATTATACTACTTAATGAAATTTCATGTGAAAGTTATTTTAAGAAAGATTTTTTTCCAATAATAATAATAATTAGTTGATATTTATAAAAATTATAATTATAATAATTTATTTTAATTTTATTTTTTTTAATTAATTTGTAAAAATGCAGAGAACAAACAAATATTTCGTACATGTCCTATTTTATATAGATTGTAAGTTGAAAGTGGTTATTTTCAGGAGAGCGCATTTTAAAGTTGTTTTTACTTATTTTTCAATTTTATTTGTTCCATGGGTTCGTGCTTAACGTACAAACTTGTAATTAATCTCAAATGGAAGGAAATTCGGATTACTTTTGGAAATTGGATTATATACTGCCTTAGAAGCATATTTAAAAACAAAAATGAAAATTTTTAAGAGATCTTTTCCTCATTCTTATGTTGTGTGGCCAATGTGATGCAAATAGCTGATCAACAATCTAATTGGTTGCATTCTTTATAACAATGCAACCTTGAAAGACGTATACATATACATTGTTTTCCTATATGTTTACAAATAAAAATTTTATGAATTTTAGAAAATGTTTAACCCTCTGTAACTTTAATTCTTTATATTAAGCGTCTTTTGATAAGATAATAAAAGACCTTATTTACCTATATAATTCTCAACTTAAGTTTTTTATGCGTATACCTGCATTATGTGCCAATATCGAATGATAAGGTAGAAACTTGTTTATTTATTAATTTTGAAATGACACAACTTGTAACAAGATAAATTGTAATTTGTACTTGATTTATAAAATATTATTCTTTTATTAAAAAGTTGATATTCAAGTTCAATTTTACTTGTTCTCTGCCTTATCCCGACCTTTATATGACTATATGCAACTATAGATTTAAAATTTAACATGAAGTTAATTTTAACACAAAAAAACTGGTTATTACTTTTATGTTTCAATTTTTTCTTATTTTTCCTTTATTTCAAAAATATATTTGATCGAACACAATTTACTTAAAGATTACTGAAAGAGAACTGAAGATGTTATAATTGACATAGTTGAAGCATGTGTGAACATACAAAATACATGTGAAGGATAACTTGTACAAATAAAAGCAAGAATGTTACTAAGATAAAAATAAGTTTAACATCAACTTATTATAAATGAAGACGGCAAAACGAAGATAAGAAATACGATAAACTAAAATATTTTTTTATGCAAAGTTCAATTGCGTTATAATGTTACCGCATTCCTACAAAGTTTTTATCTTGAATAGTCTTAATTTTTGGCCAGTAAAAATAGCTTTAAAATTAGAATATTACCAAATTCAGATTATATACAGTCTTTTTAAAATTATTTGTATGACAGTTAAATACTTCCAAAATGATATTATATTTTGTTATTAGGCAGATAATAATGTTAATTAGACCTATTTTAACAGATTTTTCTATATAGATATTATTTTCCATAAATTCTTTAAATCAAGAGGCAAAGGTCTCTTTGAAATTTATCATTATTGTAATTATGCATATATTTAATCAAAAATTTTGTAATCACTTTCATGGTATTTAATTGAAATAATTTTTTCAATTAATTTTCGGTAAATTTATTAAAATACCTGCTCTTGAAAATATTGTACAAATTCATATATATTCATATATTCATATATTCATCATTATAGAATTCATATATGTATAATTTATGACTAATCACTGTTATTATGTAAGTTAAATGGTGGAACTATGTTAGCCTACATTAGTTTTTTACTCAATATAATTCATGTATTCACTCAAGTAATTAATTAATATACACACATAAGTATAAATTGTTTAAATTTTTTAAATAAAATAATAATAATGTGTGGGTGCCATTTACTCTATATTCTCCACTCCATATACTCTAACAACATTTTAATCTAATATTATTTACATTAGAATTTCATACATGTGTACGCACTATGGACGTGAAGTAAATATTTATATTATTGCCTTTCCAGGATACCGGTAATAAAAATTAGGAATTTATTTACTTCTAACATTGTATATTGTATAATGTATGTATGTATGTATGTAAATATATACTAAACACTTATTTTATTTTTAATAAAAATTTTAAATAAAGTAAAACACTCCAAATTTAAAGTAAATTAAAAGATAGTTTTTAAATTTTGGCAATAGTTTTACATATGCACATACACGTGTGTATAAAGAATGTCTCTTAATATCGATTTTCAACTTACCGGACATTTTTTTTTTAAATTTGTCTTTTATAAAATTTTTATTTTTAATAATCAACCTTTTTATATTATTTTACTCTTAAAAAGGGCTCAGAAAATTATTATTAAAAAATTCAAATATTTTTTAATTTATAAATTTTTGCTTATTAAATTTGATATTAATATTAAATTTAAAAATAAAAGGATTTGGAGCAAATATTAATATTGACTCCTGTTCACTGTAATGCTTAATACTGAATGAGATTTGAGAATGAAATAAAGAAAATTTAATTGATTAAAAAATGAGGAAAGGAGAAATACTCACAATGTATTATATATTATTATGTATATAAGAACATAATCTCTCCAAACTATTGTGTTTTCCCATTCATAATCACATAAATATAAACAAATCTTTTCTAAAGACTTTGTGTATACATTTTGAATTTTTTGACTCCAACTAAACTCAACTAGAATAATATATTGTATGTACCTTTTTAAAAACAAACATCTACCACATGAGAGTGAAATGAAAAATTTCATTAAAAAATACGATTATTTGGATTGGAAGAGAAAACTATCAAAATAATGAGTATTTTTCGTATACATACATATTAACATATTAAATTCATAAGTGAAATGAGTGAGTTACGTTATGAATTTACGTTACATTTTCACATGTTTTCAATTCAACACACAATAATAGAAAATACACAAACGATTCAAATATGACAATATAGCAAGGAAAAAGAAGAGAATAATATATTCAAAGGTATAAAACAGTGTTCCCACTCAATAAAAACAAAATGTATCCAATTTCGAGAAAAAAATGTATCCAAAATGTATCCAGCCTCCTAAAGTAGAATTATTATACTAAATCGTCTTATTTTATACCTTTTATATTTTATACTATAATTTGCTTTATTCAACAATGTGAGTTTCGTTATTTATAGTAAATTCTTTTAGAAATCACACGCAATTTCTACTACATTTTAAAATTTAAGGTCACAAAATATATGTTCTGTAGCTGTTGAACTATGCGGTAAAAACGATTCAGCATGAAAACGGGCAAATTTTATTTAGTCAGCAAATTAAGTTTTTTGGAAGATAAAGCACTTAAAAGTTACAGCACTTTAAAAGTTTTCTAACATTTATTTAGTGTTCGAGAAAGAAATGTATCCATATTTCAGCAAAATTTTAAAATGTAGCCAATTTCGACATTTTAGCAGATTTGAGTATCTTTGTATCCAAGCTAAATTTTAAAGCAAAAATGTATCCAAATGGATACAATTGTATCCAAGTGGGAACGCTGGTATAAAATCTATAAAAAGAGAGCAGCGAAAAAAAAAACAATTCGAATTCGAATAAATTTTGTAGTACTGTGACTTTCGAGGTATAAGAGGAAATTTTTTTAAATTAAGAGAAATTACGAACATTTTACGTTATTGTTCTTTTGCACAACAACAGTACAACTACGATAAAGCTTTAAACAGAGTTACCGTTATAATTTTAATGGAGCTTCATGAATTTATACTTTAATTATTAATTATTATGGCGATTTACCAAAATTTATTATAATCAAAGAAAGAATAATTTTAGTCAAATTTTTATAATTTTAATTTTATTGATGTAATTTCATTATAGTTATAGCTATATAGCAAGTTTTTTTTCCTTCCACTCCTAGTATAGGGCTGGTGTATGATATCATAGACTAATGTCATTGTTATTTTGTTTTATTAATATTGAATTAACGTAATTATTAAAATTACTTGTATACTAATTTGTAATTTGTTTTTTCATAAGTACGAGCTGTATATTAAAGCTATAACATTGAATATCATTTTTATAATGACCTAACTGGGGATTGAACTTGAGACCCTTCGGTTAAAGGACCGGTGCCATAACCACTGTACCAATGGTCAGGTGCATATTTAAGTAAAGCAAGTACATACTTAAAATATTCTTTTACTTTTCTTTAGTTCTGGCGGCAACACTTATAGTAATGTAAAAACAGAAATACAAATTGAATACATTACATACTTTAATTTCGAAATTTATTACGGGAAGGTACATACATACATATTTCTCTTAATTTCTTTTGAAAATTATTCTGTAAGAAAATTTGCATATTTTTTTTCTTTAAATTACATTACCTATTCTTGATGTTTGTGATGTCAGTAACCATACTATTTAAAATTATGCCCACTTAATATGCATTTGTGTAAAATTTTTATCAACAATTAAAGTGATAACAATAATTTCGAATTTAAAAATCAAATTTGGTTTTTACAACACATTCTAAGCGAGTGGGAGCTGTTGTTTTTTATACTCTAAATGCTTAATAAACCCAAACATATTTAAAATATAAATTTTTAGTAGAATAAAATATTATTAAAATATAAATAAGTTCTATTCTGAACTCTCTAGTTTGGGGACTTACAAGATGGGGACCTTGAATAATTTAACAAAATACTAATTACTGTTATTTTTGAGAAATTTTCTAGAATACAAACTACAATTTAAAATAATACTTTTCCCCTAATTTTTACGAGAAACATTATTACTTTTGTATATCAATGCCATCACATGATAACAATTAAAATACTTAAGTAATTTATAAATATTTAATAAAAATAACATAAAATGTGCTACATATTGTACATACAAACGTACCTATTTAAATGAAATCGTCACTATAATTAGTATGTATGTATGTAAGAATAATTCGCGGTTTTTTTTTTAATTTTATTTGCTATTTAAAATAAATTGAGGTACGAATAATAAAATTCTTTTAATATTATTAAATTGCTCGTATATAATGGGTGATTTTCATAATGTATGGTTTTCGAAATTCAAAAATACAGAAATTTTAATATAATTATAAATCAATCGTTTTCAATTACTTTTTAGGTAGTCCAATATTGAAGACTCACTTTTCCGCATATTTCCGCTGCAAACTAATCAATTACACTTTTAATATTGTTTTGCGAACCTGCCATTAATACCAAGTGGTTGAAAGCAAGAAATGCAATGTATTTCCGATAGATAGAGCAAAACAATCTGGAGGTATCAATATCAATAGATTCGGTTGAGTAATAACATATTGGAGAGTATAAGCTCGATTATACCAGCATATAAGCTTGGCATATCGAGCTCGAACGATTTAAAATTGAGACATGTAATGAACCACCATATGCTAAATGTCGAAAATAAAACTACGAAAAACTAACCAACAAACTTAAAGTGACCCGTTCAACACATTCATATGGGTGTTACCTACTTATAAAAGTACTTAATGTTTTATGTACCCAGTCATAACACATAATATGAGGTACTAATTTTATGATACGTTTTTATCATTTACTTATTCATATTGATAAAGTGATTTTATGGCTTGTTTTTTTTTAAACAAAAATTTAGATTAAAACAACTTTAATTTATATTGCCAGAAAGAATTTGTAATATCATCTATGCTAATCATAAATAATAATAAATTGTACTTACGACAGAAGTTTTTGTATGTGCATAATTATACACATACATTAACTTTTGCCATAAACTTTTCTTGTTTGCTTACAAGAATCACGTATGCATTTACATACGTATGTATGAATGTGTATAAAAATTTCTGAAATTACTTAAGTTCATTTGACAGATAAGTTTCAAATTGCAGTTTCTTGCACTTATTTTGTGAGGTCACTATATAAATGCAATATAATACGGTAGATTCTCATAACAAGCAGTGCAACTTGCTCCAATAATATGAATTAATTCTAATTTAAGAATATTGAAGAACTCAAATCATTTGAGAGGGGCTATATTGTTTTTATTTTTCACAGTCCTCAATTTGTTTATAAAAACAATATCTACGGATTAATTAATTGAAATTTTGTTAATTTATAAATTTATTTTTAAATAATAACCTTAAATACAGATAAATGCTTTTAATAATTTTCTTACCTAACATATTTTATTAGAATTTTAATTATCAAATTTTAATAACAAAAAAACAATACGAAAAATTCTTCTAATTTATTTCATTAAAACGCAAAATAATATTAAATACAGAACACAAAATATGCACAAATTTGAATAATAAATAATTTTCGATTTTATTATTGTTATACTTAAATATTATAACAAAATGCACTTCAAAAAAAAAATGATGTTTTTAATGGAACAAGTAGCAAAAACAAAAACACCACTCTTTCGAAATTCTAAATAAAACTAAACAAAATGTAATTTTTCTATAATAGGAAAAGACTAGTTCGCTCTTTTACGCAACCACTTTTAAAGTTTTTCTTTTATTTTTAAATTATACACACATGCACAAGTTTTGTATATACACTGTAAATTGAACAGATTTTGTTATACACATTAGATATAATTAGTGTGACCGATTTTATTAAAATGTAGTAAAATGAATGCTTACGATAAGGTCTTTAATGCAATTTGTGATATTTTTTGGAAGCTTTTGTGATATAAAATTCAGATTATATGTGGCTACAAAATTATATGTGGCTACAAATATATCAATCACCTTTAACGACGTAAGCCCTAAACGGTTACTCTAAGTCACATGGCTTCGAAGTTTCTTTTCAACAGATTGTGACTCAAAAACGAGTTTATCATCCCTGAAGTTATTTGCCATTTTACACGAAGAATAATAAATAAATCGAAATATAAGAGTTTCAATTCATTTAAGAGGGCAAAATTGCAATATTTAGAGTTTTAAATAATATTATTCCGTTTTTCTGCTTCAAACATCCTCTATTAATCTATACACAAATTTTTTTGCATGTCCTAATTTCTTGAATACATTTGAAGATACTATTGTGGTGGTGTAAGTTTAAAAAAAATGTGTTGTATGATAAAATTTTTTGTTGTACACCGCAAGCAAATTTTATTCATATACAAATGAATATTATAAATATATAGAATACAAAAATTTATATCCCTTCATTTTTGGAAGGGAAATTTAATTTTAAATACGCAACAGGGAGTAAAAAGACATTTTATTATACAAGTATTTTACAAACAATATGTCCTCAAGTATAATAGCAACCAGCAACAGCGTTGCAATAACAATGTTGTTTAAATGTATGTGTGTATATGTAAAATGTTTCAAATAAACAATATACTTGTGATAGCGAATATACTAAATTTCACGTGTTTTTTTCTTCGACAATATTCTAAATCAATATCCAAAGAAAAAAACGTGTGGAGACCGGAACTTGTGGAAAAATAGGAAATGTGAGAAAATTAAAAAAAAAAACCAACGCATTCTTCTTTTTTATGTTTTTGTTTACAAATAAAATGTAAGATAGTATGTAAATTCATATAAGTAATGTGTACACATATGATATACATATATGTATAGATTAATTGTCGAGAAAATTTTTCGAACAAAAATTTTCGAAATTTTCTTTACTATAAATTTTTACTCTTAAGTTTCATATTCTCTTAAATTATTCTCATGGTTAGAGGACATAGAAGAGAATATTATTTGATAAAATTTAAAAATTTTGTGTTATCGAAATGCAAGTTGGGCTTTTTAACGGTATCATCAAATTTATTGAATAAGACTTATCAACAATTTTAATTGTTCAAGATGTAAAGGAAGTTAAATAAAACTTTTACATAAAAATCGAATTTAATCTTCGAATCGAATCTTTCGATATTGGCGTTTTTATGGAATTAAAGAGGCAACATCTCAAATTAATAACACTGTATGATTTTGAATGTTAATCAAAATATAAAGAGACCATTCTGCTCACGAAAATTAAAATGTTATTCAACTCCTTCATTTTTCACTATACTTTAATTGTTTTTTAAATTACGTTATTGATCAAAATTTAATCGAAAATAATAAATTAGAATTACAGCTTTTAATAAATTTTCATGCAAAATTCATAATAATAGAGACATAATATAAAATTCGATAAGCTTCTAATTAACACTAATTGGGGATTTTTCTCGAACTAAATGTGCTCTTTAGTCACACCCCTATAAAGTGATTAGTGAAAGGTGCTAACTTTGCACCTAAAATAAAAAATTTTTTATACATTGAGTTTACATTTTTTTTTACGTTTATTTCCTATGACATTTTCATTTGGATTCAGCGAGTTTAAAATATCGCAAACAATTTTATTGATTGAATGTGATATTTATGAAACTGATGACTTTCATTTAAAATTTGGTTTTTTCATTTAAAATTTAAACGCTAAATTGATTTTTAAATTTAGTTAGAATTTTCTATGGTTTCTTCTAACATCCAAGTTGATATATATATGAAATTAATTAATAATGTGGAAAAAATTATTTTCGAAAACTTGACACCCTGAATTAATATCAATTATCATACTGTTAATTTCTTTTTTTTTTCTATTGTTTACAATAACAATATAATTAACATAATATACATATTATGTACAGGTATGTGTGTATAGGTGTATAGACTTTATAGGTGTATAGATTTTTTATACATTGAGTTTACATTTTTTTTTACGTTTATTTCCTATGACATTTTCATTTGGATTCAGCGAGTTTAAAATATCGCAAACAATTTTATTGATTGAATGTGATATTTATGAAACTGATGACTTTCATTTAAAATTTGGTTTTTTCATTTAAAATTTAAACGCTAAATTGATTTTTAAATTTAGTTAGAATTTTCTATGGTTTCTTCTAACATCCAAGTTGATATATATATGAAATTAATTAATAATGTGGAAAAAATTATTTTCGAAAACTTGACACCCTGAATTAATATCAATTATCATACTGTTAATTTCTTTTTTTTTTCTATTGTTTACAATAACAATATAATTAACATAATATACATATTATGTACAGGTATGTGTGTATAGGTGTATAGACTTTGAAATAATTTTATGCTTATAGAATTGCAAATAAAAACGATCACGAATATTTAAAACTTTAATGAAATTATTAAAATATTATAAATGTGTGAACACTTTTTAATTATTTCATTCACCTGGGAATTTGCAATAATTTTATTTTAATTTATACATTGAAATTATAATCTATATTATGTATTCACTTACACGATTATGACATTAGAAAATTATTATGGGTGAATATTTCTATATCGTGTATGAATATTCATAATTTTCTTTAATGATATCAAAAAAAAAAAAAAATCTAAAAATTTTTGTTCCCATAACGTGATTATACACAGTTATTGGTAACTGATAAAATGTGAATGAAATTGATTTACAAAATTTTTGTATATACATACACACATACAGCTCCACACGCCATTTATTACACATAAAAAATATAATGAAAATTTTTTAAACCGTTAATAATCATGTATTATAATTTCAGGACTGATTTACATAATATGTTAAAATGCGTGACTTCAAAATTGCAGTAATGTGTGTACTTATATACAAACTCATCATACGCATAGAGTTGCGTAGGAATTAGAAGTTGAGAAATTATGAAAAGATGAATTGAACATTTTCATCTAAACTAGAATTTACAAATTTTTTTATTTAATAGTTTTGACTGTTTTAGCTCTGATGCAAGTATGTTAAACATATGCAAACTAAATATTAAATATATTTCTGTAAAATCTATACACAATTGCAGATTTAAACGTGTATAAATATAATTTCTTGGTACTTTCTAAAGTTCTTCTTTATTTGCCTAAAATTAATAGGTAAACGGATACATACATCTTTATATTACAATTCGAAATTTACTTTTTGTAATTCGTGTATATGTACATAGTGAAAATTGATATAAGAAAAGCTAATAAAGCAAATAAAACATTTAATTTTTTATAAAACAAAGAATCTCTCTATTTTTAAAAATACACTATTTCAAATACATAATTTAAATGTAATTTTAGAATAATTTTCTTTTACATGCAAAAATATAAACTAAGAAAAATTATGCTGTGTGAAAAGAATGACGTGTGCCTGTCTATTCATTTCAATGTCATAACAATCAGATTCACTTACAGTTAGATACATTTTATTATCTATATGTGAATAAAAATATCCCATTGAAAAATCTTCTTTGCAAAAGCAAAATTGAAAAATTTGAAATTTTATTTATGCATAATATGTAAATGAGGATTAGAATTTATTAAAAAAATTTCATTAAATATTGGGAGCTTCTATACCTATAATAAGAATATTTGCGTAACAGTTGAACATGTATACTATAAGAGGTAATTTTGTAAACATTTTATTATTTCTATTTACTTTATATTTTAAATGAAGTATTCTTAAAATTTTTTTAAAATTTTTTTAAAATTTTATTCTTCATCACGAAATGTAGTATGTTCGGTTGTACTCTTTTTTAAATATTCATGTATGTATATAATAGAAAATATTATTTGAAATTTGTATCAAACATTTTTAATTTTTTTTTTAAATTAAAATTTTTTAATTATTGTAGGTACAAAGGAGTAAGCAGACATTAGCATTTCATCATTAATATTTTAATTTCAAAAAGAGTAAATATGTTACAAATGGAATTTATGTTTCTGTGTAACTTACATATATTCGTGTGAGTACAAAATGCAAAGAATATAACAACAAAATATAATAATAATTTTCTCTAGTATACATATAATTAACAGTCAATTCATTATAATATATAACATTCTCAAAACACTGAAGCAGTGTTGTTAATTTCAACTTGTTTTTCAGTAGTATTTTGCCTGAAAAAGTAGTATGGAGAGCTTTAGCGTAGTAATTTGCGGTTATCATTAACACCAAATAAAAAGTAAGGCATCTGTCTAAATTTATACCCGTACATTTTAAATCAGGTTACCTAAATCAGCTACGCGACTAAGCAACGTATTGATATTTTCGACTTTGGCAACGGTAGGTAGATTTTTTTTTCTGTTTTTTTATTTTTTTTTCCGATTCTCAAATTGAACTGATTGCTGTCAATTTACATAACATTATGTAAAGCGCGAGCTCAAACATTAACAATATAAGCTTTTTTTTATAAAATAATTTCGAAATTTAGAAAAACAAAAAACTATTTTTTTTTGTTGTACAAATGGTTTTTGTAAAAAATACGAATGAACTTTTTATAAACAAAAACAAATAATAACATTTTCTAGTATAAAGGCAAAAAAGTGGTAAAAATAGCTTTGCAGTTGTACGGTAGTATGGAATGCCAAAATGTAGTAAAATACTACAATTGTAGTAAAATTGACAACACTTCACTGAAGGGAACATTTGAGCGACTATTATAATGAAAATAAAAAAAATTTTCTATGCTCTCAACATTTTGAGGTTGTTGTGTAAAAATTACATTTATAATTTATTATTATAAGCAGGTATATAATATTATATTTTTGCACATATTTTATTAATATTATAATATTGATTGGCTGCTACAATTTATAACATTATAATAATTTACATACTAGGTTTTCTATAATAATTGTAATTAATATTTAATAATGCAATATTAAAGTTTTATGAATTTATCAGCAGCAGACTTAGAATACAAAATAAATAATTTGAAAAAAGTGGCGTTAAAGTAAAAAATATTTTCTGTTTTTATTATGATATTTTTAATTTGCAGTTTTTTTTTAAATATTAATTTAAACTTATAATTTTTATTAATTTTTTAATTCAATTAAAGAAGAAAATTACAAACTGTAAATTATACTTAGATTTTAATTAGCAACTCGACACAACATGAAGGTTTACGGTGTTATACATTGTTTATTGAATTTATGAGAAATTTAAGTTTTAATAATAAGTTTAAGTTACTCAAATGCAAAGAAATGATAAAACAAAAATTATTTAAAATAACTTAAATTATTTGTTTATTGCATTATTCAAATGCTAATATGCAGCTAATGCAACCACATTGGTTACCATATTTGAATATACAGTAATTCCCCCTATAACGCGGTAGATTCGTTCCGCGTTATAGTAAAACGCGTTGTAGGAGTATTCTCATATAATGCGCTCGTATGACCCCGTAACGCAAATAATTCTAGTTTAACTTTTCGCCTTAAAGGGCGTTTAAATCGAATCTTAAGAAAAAACTATGTTATGAACGAAATACATATGTATGTGCGTTTTATTAAAATCAAACTAAGAACATTTCAAATAAAAAACTTATACATATGAAAGTAAAAAACGGTTAATTTCAAATAAATTACATAAATCCAAAAACAGTTTTATTACATGTTTATTCGGCTGTTGGAGCTATCTGAAATAACGTTCCACCGAAATCTTTTTTTAATAGAAATCCCCGCGTTATATGGGGAAAACACACGTTATACGAGGATCTGAAATCCCGTAGTATGAAAATGTGTTATAAGCGTACCACATTATAAGGGGGATTACTGTACTTTAGTTATTTGTAGATTTGCGTAAGTTGTTAAACTTAATTAAATATTTTTTTATATTTTTTCTCTAATCCCCCTCTTATTTGGACAAATACTTAAATATTTTCATACAATCAATTGATCTGCTATAAATTTTATAGGCGGACAACCAGCTGGTATTAAAAAAACATCAAAATTTTAATTAACAATAAAATATTTTAACAAAAGCATTACATTGTTCTTTTCGTAAAAATTACACTTAAACCTTTCACTCATTGACTATCATAGTTGTAAATAAGTGATAATCATAAAAGAAAAATGATAAAATTTCGGAAAAAACCTCATTGTTGCAGTAAAAAATTATAAATTTTATATTCAATTGCAAATTATAAAAGTTGAATTGTTAAAACTGACCGGTAAAAAAAAATATAATTGATGGTATGTTAGCAACTCCAATATCGCATAATAATGAAATAATAAAATAATTGTGTTCTAAAATTTCCTCTCTAAAAATATATTACAACATTGCCATATCTTGTTGAAAATTGAAACCAAAAACAATACTTCAAATTGTAAAATTAAATAATAAAATAGTCCAAGTATGTATGCATCTACATATATATATATATATAAATATTTGCATTGGAATACATTCAATTTTTGTTTTATTTAAACTTGAAATTAAATTTTATATAAATATTGGCAGAATTATGTATATATAGAGCTTAAGAATTAAATTTCATTTTAGGTACTAAGGTACTCGTACTACACATAATATACAAATGTTTTAGTTTTCTAGTACAGTATTGCAGTCACGCTGACATCTATTGTAATAATTACTTTTCTTCAATTATACTCTATTGCTTAAAAATTTAGCAATTACAAATTATAAGTAAACATAATAATTGTAAGTATTTAATAACTGCAAACTTGAAGTCAATTGTATTACTTTTCTGCTCAATTCAGTTTATGACTATGATATCTTATTGCTTTATGGTGTAATAATAAATACCTTATTTTATGAAGCTGGCTATTGCGAATAAGAATGAACGTTAAATCTATAACTGATTTTAATTACCATTTCTAATAACTTGATTCCATTACTAATACATAGATGGCACTAGAAGTTAAATGAGAAAAAATCACAAAATATTTTCAATAGTCGAAAATGTGAAATTTTATTTTCTAATTTTTGAATTTTCCATACTAATATTCCTTTTTACATTATTCTTATTCTTATGTGAGTATATATATAGCAAATTGAAATTAACTCATTTCAATTAATTCGCTACATTAAATTAATTCCCATTAAAAATATTCTAATTAATTAAATTTTTTATACATATTATATAAATAAAATTAAGAGAAAAGAATTTAAAATTGAGAAATTTTAATTATTTTTGAATCTTTCTTTGTGCTCGACGAAATTTCTAACATGATAACAAAATTAATGTTTATACCGGTTTTTTATATTATTTATGTTGTTCTTATCTTGAAAAAGTATACCTATAATTTTTTATGAGCTGGTATATACATATGTACTTAAACAGGTTAAATTGTGTCCATGTATAGGTATAGGCAATTAAAAAAAAAATCATGATAAGTTATCAAATTTAAGGTTGATCAAGGCACTACTAAGATACTTGTGCCATGGTACCCAAAATTTATTGAGTTGATCATTATTAGCTCAATAAATTTTGTGATGTTAATAGACTACATTTTAAACATCATTTATAAAAATAACTCTTAATAACAATTTTTGCTATAATTTATTTAATTTTTCCAACACATTGTACTTTTAAAAATATATGAAATAGAACTTAGTTTTGATTCTTAATTTATGGTTGAGATCAAATATGTTTTCAATTCAAAAGATTTACTTTAAATTTTATTTACTTAAATAAATTTAGTAATTTAATAAATCTAAAGCAATAATAAATTACTAAAAATGCGGATCACTAAATATCCTGATTAGAATTCGATTATTAATTGTATTATAAATGATGAGGCAAATCTATAACTATACATATATAATTAATTGGTTCAAATACATATTATATATATGTATGTACGCAGATAAATATTTAAATATGTATGTATGTAATATAATTTGAACGACAGAATTTTAAACAACAGTTTGTTATAAGCTTTTTTATGTTATTGAACAACCTTTTGAATACTAAGTTAAAAAAAATATTTGAATTGAATATACAAAAATAGAAAGTTTACTGATAAAGCGTATACGTACATACATACATATAAACTAATGTGCATAATATGTAACATCGGCAGAAGAAATTCAAAAGCTTAATATTTTCTTGAAGCTTGAAGTATTAAATTAAAATTTCTGACTTCATTTTAATTATTTAGTTAACTGCATGCAGAATTTTTTAAATGGTCTTTAATAAATTTATCATAAATAACAGGACTGTAATTTATCTGACAGCTACCATTGAACGTTTTCCTTAAATACAAATAAAACTGTAATCTGTTTTACTCAATAATTAAAATTTTACAGTTAAAATACTTAAGTAAAATAATCTATATTTCTCAAAAAATTTCCTATCAATTTGAAATTTTGGTGAATTTTGTTTTGTTAAATGCTTTAAGGAATAAAACATACTTGCATTATTTTATTAAAAACAGAAAAGGAAAAGTTGTTGTCAGTTTTTTTATTCAGCAATTTGAATTTGCAATGCTCAATGACAATTCAATTAATTTGACCATTTTGGAATACAAGTACTTACTTAACAATGAAAATGATAAATGAAAAGTGTTTTTGAAATTGATTAACTTACATTTTACTTAAAATTTATTTTATAATAAAATTAAATTTCTATTTTTAAGTTAGAAACGACTCTACGGATTACCTGGTATTTGTATATTTCAAGTATCTATTTTATAATGTAAAGCACATTTCAGATTTTTTTTTCTCATTTTTTTTTTGCCACACAAAAAATATTATAAAAACAAGAATCAGTCGCAAGTATATTTTTCTATCTAATGTTAGAGTATTAAAATCTTGAGTTTTAAATTTGATAAAATATAAAACATTCGTACACTGCCAAGAAATAATAAAAAAAAAATTGAAATTTTATATTGAAATCTGAGAACATCATAATTCAATTGGCCACAGCTTGAAGATTATTTGCATTTGCAATAATAAACGACAAAACAAAATAAAATTAATGTCAATGATACCATAAAGAATTCCGAATTCATTGATATATAAAATGGCTGGTAAATTAAAATTTAATTTTATTTAATTCTTATAAATCTTTTTGTTTATATTACTTATTAATTAAATAAAGTAAAGGATTAAGAATAAAATATATAAATTTTATATATTTTTGAAATTATTTTATTGTTTTCTTTTTTTATTTTGTTATTCTTGTAGAACTTCTAAAATCAAAAATGTTATTGGCTGCTGGCCTTGGAATTGGTGCAACAGCAATTGCTGGTTGGTATTATCAAAATCGTAAACAATTTATACCACCAACTGAATGGAAACGTATTGGTGTTCTTGAAAAATTATATTATTATCCAATAAAATCATGTTATCCAATTGTATTGGATACAGCTGATTGTGATGATATTGGTTTACGTAATGGAAAATTTAAAGATCATCAATTTATGCTTATTGATACAAAAAATAATTTAATAACATGCCGAACATATCCAAAATTATTAAAAGTTAAACCAAAAATAATTAATGGAGAATTATATGCAACAGCACCTAATATGGAACCATTACGTATAACATATGAGAAATTTGTTGAAAGTAATAAAGGTGATGTTAAAGTGAAATTTTATAAAGTTGATGTTTATGTTACTCTGTGCGGTGAGGAATATGATAAATGGTTTTCAAAATATATATTAGATAAAGATGATGGAATACGTTTAGCATATTATCCATATCCGATGGCAACTAAATTAAAAGATCCATCTAAAGAATTTGCAACGAAATTCTTTAGGAATGAAGATACGGTAAGTTTAAATTTGTTTTTCATTTTATATTTGGGGCTATATTTAAAATTGCATCATATTATAATATTATCTAATAATTTGTAGGTATATGTTTAAGTGGTTCTTAATATGTTTTAAGATATTGTGAAGTTTTAAAGGTTGATGGTATTAAATGTGATAAGATAATGTTACAAAATGTGAAAATGATTGACAAACATGAATTTGAATTTAGAGTAAAACTATCATGTTCGTAAATATATATGCATATATTACATAAGTATGTGTAGACTGATAGGCTCTGATTTATTAATTGTTTTGATTAAGTATAGTATTTATATATTTACACCACAAGAAATTAGGAGTGCAGCACTTTATATTCACTATTATGCACAAACTACAAATTTATGAGTTACCATTTGTAGCCATTTATAAATTTATGGGTTGTAGATTTTTACAAAATATAATACTATCTACAAGTATTATAGAAAATGAAAATGACATAAGCACTGTGGATGAAGAAGTACTATAGCACAACACTCACATTTCAGCCTTTTTATTTTTTTCCTGTATAATATAAAAAAAAAAAATTATTTTTTTTAATTTAGATTTCTATCAGAATATTTTCATCAAAGGAAGATTCAGAATTATATCCATTCGAAACATCATATTTTTTAAATTTATTTTGAACTTGAAGCGCTCGTATATACCATTTAATTGTAAAGATCCATCCATCCATGATATTAGCATTGAGATTTAATTAAACATTAATACCAAATTACCTAAATGTAAGCTTTTCTGGAATTTAGCAATTATCCTCTATTTAGCAATTAGCATTCAAATATTGCTAAATAAATTAAATTAATTGCATTCTGTAGTAGATGCGTATGGTTTTTAAGGGAATAATGGATTTTAAAATACAATTTAGATTGTAATATACAATTTATATTAAGAATAGATAAAATAGGTGGGTATAAACAAAAATTTTTTCTATATTATTAAAAATCTCAAATTAATCCCAACTGAAAATCAACGAAAACACTTTAAGTAATAATTCGGAATTATTCCGATTTAATTCAGCAACTCAAATGTTCAAAATATGTAAATTACAAAAACAAAAATAGCCTAAACTAACGGGTTATAAGTTTTTCTCAATTTAATTTGATTATTTTAACTAAAACCATGAAGACACAATAAATTCCATTAAAAAGTATAAAATTAAATAAATTTTTTAATGGAAAATATTACGATTTTAAATTAAAATTGAAAAATAATTAATAAAAAGAAATTTATAATTTAATCTACACACACAAATTTATTAAGAACTAAAAAGTATAAAAGACAAAATATTGGGTAAGGACTTGAATTCAGAAAAGAAAATGGATGTTTACAATAAATCACTTCAACCACTTTCCGTAATCGGCACTGGTACTTATAGTCGTGTAATATTGTGTCGTCATAAAAAATATAAGAAAAATGTTTGCGTTAAACAAATTTATTTCAATATGGGACAAAAAACTTTATTAAATTTAATAAATAGTGAAGCATTAATATTATCTCAATTAAAACATCCAAGAATTATAAAATTTTATGATTTTTATATACAAAATAATTTTGCACATATTGTTACGGAATATATTTGTGGCGGAACATTACAGAAAGCAATCGAATTAAGAATAAATAAACCATTTAATGATGAAGAAATTCGTAATATATTTTGTGATATATTAATTGGTATAGAATATTTACATTCACGTGGTATTGTACATCGTGATTTAAAACCAGAAAATATTTTATTAGATATTAATGGAAGACCAAAAATTGCTGATTTTGGATTATCATTTTATATTGCACAAAACGTATTGAATAACAATAATAATAATATGACGGATAACAATAATAATAATAATAATGCAAATCAAAGAAATAAAAATAATAATTATAGCAATAAATATTGTTTAGGTACACCATTATATATGGCACCAGAAAGTTTAAATGGTAAAGAATGTAATTTTAAATCTGATATGTGGTCATTAGGTTGTATACTTTATGAATTATGTTCATCATATAATCCATTTATAAAAGCAAAAGATGTTAATGAATTAATAAGAATGATGACAAATGATGGACAAAAACTTGAGTGTGGTTGCAGTGGTGTTAGTAATTGTATATCATATGAAAAATTTCAGAAACGAGAAATAACATTACGTTATATATGCGATGGTATGCTAACAATAAATCCAAATGAAAGATGGAATATATCACAAATAGTATCATGTCCATGGATTACAATGCATTATTATAAATTATATTTTGACTATGAATATTAAATTTAATTAATTTTAAATTTTAGTTCTGTATGTGATTAATTAGTACCGCGTGTAAAAATTATTGATATACAATTTTATATTGAGATTTGTTAAAATAATTCAATTGTTTGTAAATCTTTGTAAATTCACTACTCAATTTTTCAGCAATATCTATTGTATTTATACCTATAATTTAATTAGTTTTAATATTTAATTTTATATAAGTATTTAAAATTTCGTTTTCATACTTTTGTGTTTTGTATTTGTATTTAAGCATGTACTCTTTATGTTGTATTTATTTTGTATTAAATGTTTAATGTTATATCAAGTGCAAAATTATTTTTAATTAAGTTTTAAAAATTAAAAAAGAAATCTATGTTTTTAATGATAATTTAATATTAATTGTGACAAAGAAATTAAAAGTTTCATACCTGTAATAATTTTATAGCAAATTTTAAAAATTATTCCATAAATTATGTACATTATAAAATTCTGACAATATTTTTAAAAATTAAAATAAGATATAAAATACATTTTTGTAAAACTGACTTTGAAATAAATTTAAAAATTAACTTGACTAATCATTTTAAGTTTTTCAATTTATTTACATATATAATTTTTTTTAAAAAATATTTTCTTTATATCAAATGAATTCTCTACATTAATTAATGTTTTATTCAATAAAATAAATAAATATAGATACGTGTAATCTCTAATTAAAGTGATATAAAGAAACACTGAACTGTCCAATTTTTGGTTTAGCAAGGGGACACTTTTGAAAAGCCTGATTATTGTGATACAGTGATAAAAACTGTTACTGGCAATTTATTATATTCTGAAAGTTTTTTTGAATTTTCAAAAATTTCTTTCAATAAAGCTTAGTAAATTAAATTAAATATTCAAAATCTTAGCATTTTTTCACCCTTAGTAAGTTTTCATTTGACTTCAATTACTCCGAGTTTATACAAATATTTTGGTAATAATGGTAACAATATCATAATTTTAAATATTACCTTGCATTCTTAAAATACTATATAATGAAAGCATTAGTTTGAACCAATTATGGGCTATTTTAATTATATTGTCTAAAAGTCAAATAATTTAGAGCATTTTTTTTATTGGATTTAAGCCAAATAGAACGAAAAAAGTAGATTTAATTAAAATAACAAAAAAGAATTTTATTCAAAATGAAAAAAATGAATATTAGAATAGAACAATTATTAGTAATTTTGCCATTTTCTACTTTAAGGTCGCCTTTTTTCTCTGTGACATTGTACTCTAAATAAAAAATGACTAATTTGAATATGTAATGTTTTGTTTCCTTCATTTTTTTTTTTATAAAGCTATAAGTTCATTATCTAAATAAAATTCATATGATATATTTTAGTTCATAAAATATTTTTCAGGGATCATTTCAAGATGTTTCAAGTTATATGCTAATCAATTATTCATCAGTTGATGAGCTGAATACTCGTTTAGAAACACGAAAAGAAGCAAATGTTGATCCATTAGCTTTTCGGGGTAATTTTTATATTAAAACCGATGATAATATTCCATTTGATGAGGATAATTGGAAATGGATAAAAATTGGTGATGATGTCATAATGAGAACACTTGCGCCATGTTACCGTTGTATTGTTCCAAATATTGATCCAGAAAAAGCTGAAAGAAATCCAAACACAGAACCGTTGAAAACGTTAAAAACGTAATTAACAATTTTTTGAAAAACAGAATATTTTAAATACATTTTAATTACAGATATCGTATACCAAAAGGTAGTACAAGTCCTATGATGGGTCTTCAATTAGGTATTCGCCAAAATGGAAAAATAAAGAGAGGTGATACTATTTATGTTTCCACTATATGATGACGGTGACTTTTTTTTGTTTTATTTAAAGATTTTTATTATGTAGATTGAAATGCATTTTTAATTATTTTTTTTAATAAATATTCACATATATATGTATGTATATTTCTTTTAAAAATTCTGATTTATTATTGAATTCGACTTCACAAGAAAATTAGGCAGAATTTTATAACCCATGAACAATGTATTTTAATTTTAAATATAAATAATCAAACAAGGATTTAAAATTGAAATTAAATTTATACATATATTTAGGTTATACTATAATTTTATTTATAATATATATTTTTATTTATACAAACTATGATCTAATTTCTTATAATATTTTTATAACATTTTTGAATTCACAAAATCACAAATTTTTAGTTAATTACCATGTATTTTGCTTCGTCTTCTTAAATAAGTTTGAAAACTTGTCTAAAATAAAACCCGAACAAAAATTTATTAAATATGCATAAGTAGACTTTTGGACATATTAAATATAATTTTTTTATTTCTTTTTAATTTAAACCTACTTACTAGCAAGTAGTTATTTTATTCATTGATTTTTCAAATTTATTGAAAACTTTTATAAATAATAAACAGACAATATTTAATAAAATAACATAAAATTTACAATATTTAAGTTTACAAAGAAATACTTTTGTAAATATAATAGATAAATATTGCATGTTATAGTTTTTGTTTAGAAAAATAATTAATTATTACAATATGTTACCAACATAGACTTTAGAAAACAAACATTTTTTATTTCAGTTCCATAAATATTTTTTAATATTAGTTATTAATTTTATATACTCTTTTATAAACGTGATGTTGTGGTGTTTTTTCATTTCTTTATTTCTTTTTACGGCTTAAATTAACAAACTTTGTTGATTTTGTATATACAATTGGATTTGAACCGTAAATTTTTTTCATACGGTCAGAAATTAATACAAAAAATTAAAATGAAAATTATATGGAAATTTCAAATATAAATTTTAAATATGTAAATAATATAGTAATATTTGATAAATTGTATACATACATATTTTTAATATGTATAACATACTAATTATAATAATGTAACGAGAAAATAGTCCAGTATATTATATTGTTGAATTGAATACAAAAATTTTTATTAAAAATTAATTTTTATGAATGCAACTCTGCCAAGCTAATCCACCACAAGCCATGCTTATTATTACATATAAAATGAATAATAATATACAACCGAAAATAATATACATTCGAAAATTTTTCCAAAACATTGCTCTAGCTAAATTCCTGGAAGTTTTTCGGAATGTAACAGTCTGAAATTAAAAGAAATACATTTTTATATAAAACAAATTTAAATGAAATTTCCAATATTTATCAAACATGTTTTGTAATTTATTTTTTTTTATGATCTGGTCGATGATTAATTTTTGTTGACTAAAGTAATATCTACACAAATAAAATGGTGTGTAAACTGTTACTGTAGCAACTCTTTATATTTAGTGTCCACTATTACCGGACGTTTAACAAAAAAAAAATAGAAACATAATGCTATAATTATGCTTTTTAAATTTTAGTGTCTATTGCGATCAGAGAAAAAAAAAAAATGAGAAATAAAAAAAAATGTAAATTATAAGCTATTCCAGCTACATTTTTTTTTTAATAAAACTATTTGAACCGTCTACGTACTTTGAAAATTGAAGTAAAGCAAAATATAACTTACATTATTCCTAAGATTTTCTGTTTTATTAACCAAAAGTTCGAGTCTTTCACCACGATCTTTAAGTGAATCTAAAAAGAAATATAATTAATAATTATAATTGTAAAGAATAATAAAATATGTTTACATTACCTATATTTTTGACTAAAATATCTTGAAGTTCATCTATATTACCGTGAATTTGTGTAATTGAATCAATATCATTGGACTCATTAAAATACGACATCTGTTGAGCTAAAACTTTTGAAAATTCTGAATTCATAGCATAAGCTATTGCTGTTGCAACCTGAAGTCCATACGTTGATATGAATTTTTTCTTAATATCACTTAAAAATAAAAATGCCCGCACCACCGCAAAATCCTACGATATTCAAATTTTTAAAAACCCAACAGGTAAAATAAAAAATTATATTTTTGAATTAAATATGAAATCTTATCATATATTTTATTACTTACATCATCTGCGAAACACATATATATAATTTTATTTTCACATTCATAATGTATTCGATAATTATTATAAGTGTAAGTTAGTTTATGATTACATGGTTGAATTTTCTTTAATATCTGTTCAGTTACTTCCGCAAAATTTCCAACAACTTCAGCAAATTTTGCTAGAACGGTGGTTTCCCTTGCTATAACGCTGTATAATATCGGCATTTTTCCTTTGTTGATATAATAAGTTAGTAATTGAAATAAATTCAATTCTATTTTTCTTCTACTTATTTTAACTCTATTACCACTTGCAAAATATATGTACTCGGTTTAATTTCAGTTTACTTTAGGCATCTATGCAAATTCTTATGAGTCATAAGATAGTACTTTGCGTTTCGATAGATGCTGCAATCTAGAGCATTTTTATCTGTGTTAAAAGAAAAAAAGTTTAAAATCAATGACTGGGGCAAATATAAATTTTAAATATTTACCATTCAATTGCGAAACAAAAGAATTTTTTATAAACTTTTTTTTTCAATAATTTTTTAAGTTACATTTACACTACGAAATGTTGAAAAGCATAATAAGTTAGTAGAATATTAGTATTTCTTTTAAAATAAAATTTATTTACGTATTTAAAAAATTTTTCAATTATTTTCGCAATGTTTCTTTATTTCGTTGACAGCGAGCTCTATAAAAAGTTGATGAATTGACTTGTCATTTTTCATGCAAAAAAAAAGTATTGACAACAATAATGACAATTTGATTGGCCGACAGCTATTGTAGGGTTGGAAAATGTGAATATTTAAGCAGCATCTTGAAATAATTCGATTATTACAAAAGTCTTAATTAAAATACTGTTCAAAAATAATGAGTATGTTTGCCCTCAAAAGGAAATGACACGATAAAAATACAATTCCACAATTCATATTACGAGTTCAACAAATTTTATTTTTTTTTTAGAAAACTATAAACGAAATTCTTTTATATATATGATTATTAACTTCACAACGATGGTTGGTTTTAAAAGTATAATTAAACCGAAGACGTACTTTACGTATTTAATTTGGAAGTTAAATATTTTATCGAAAAAGCTTTCAATTATGCTTCAATAACTTTATTTTTATAGCAATAACGAAAACCAAAAAACACAATTGTCACAAAAAAGAAATTATTAGTATGTTTTTGCTTTATCTACTCTTAAAAGTCTCAGTACAATGAGGGTGCTAAAATAAAAATCAAAATCGTTCATCCGTTCTTTTCAATTGTATTTTGATTTTTTTTTTCAATAATCGTGAGCTTAATTTTTGACAGTTAACCATAGTTTGTCAAAATTAAATTCTGTCGAAGGGTGGATAATAAACATTTAGTAGATAAAAGATGATCATATTTTTAATTAATTTATAAATTTGCAATATTTAGTAATCGTTTTCTAGTTAATTTGTTAAAAATTATGTAAAATTACAAAAATGGAAAAAAATTTACAACCGTACAATAGAATAAGCTCAAAATCCAATAAAATACCCCCAGAAGTTCCTTCCAGTGGATATGTTACTTATCGAACAAAAGATGAACCACCTATTTTTGCGAAACAAAAATTGCAGTTGAATTTACTAGAAGATATTACTCACCTTGCTGTATCAGATTCTTGGTTGTTTTGCTTATTTTCTCACCATGTTCTGCTCAGACTTTTGCTTTCAGATACTGATCAGCAAAGCGGTAAATCTTACTAATTATTCGAATGAAATAACTAAAAAAAATGATTTTTATAAAATTATTTCAGAGGTGTTGCTGGAACAATATGTAGGTGGATACAATGTAGCAAATTTATTTCTTGACCCGCTTGGGTACCATCTTATTATTATATTGACACCCAAAACTGTCGGTCTCCAACCAGAATTACTTTATTTACATACAAAAATGGATAAACCAAAGAGAATTGATAAATTCCGTGGTCATGAAATAACAGCAGTAGCGTTTAATCACAATGAGTCAAATAATTTTTCAACTGGTCCTATTTTGCTTGGAACTAGCAAAGGCTTGATTCTTGAAACGGAGTTTGGTTTGGATGGAGAAAAACCGTATTACAGCAATTGGAAACAGGTATAACATGTAACAAAATTATTATGCATATATATATATATATTGTTATTACAACTTACTTAATTAAGCTGCCTAATTATATTACTTTGTATGGTACAAGAGAAATTGAGGGACTGGTAAATATAAATCTATATACCTTTTGATTTATTTGGTATGATTTTAGAAACTTTATATAATTTTTTTTGCAAGGATTTCGGTTTCAGCTTGGTTCATACCTCAAATTCATAACTTATACTTGTAACGTAAATCATACGTTTATGTACTTAAAATTTCTTAAATTATTTTAGGTTTTTGAAATAAATCGAGATCCGCCAATGCCAATTACTGGTTTACAATTTTACAAAGTTCCCAATACTTCCCGATACATCGTTGTGGTTTCAACTACTGATAGCGTTTATAAATTTCAAGAAACTTTGAAATCAGATGAGAAATTGGTGTTGCAAGTACAAAATCTAAATGTTAAAAATGTTGCAAAGGGTCAACATAATTCTTTTTTTTTCAGAACATATTTACTCAATATATGAACATTCCGGAAGATCTTCTTAAATTTAGAGGAATCCATACGAAAGTTTCTGTTTTAAGTTTTAATTGCAGCACTAAAACTAAATATCCAGAACATTTTGCTTGGTTAACGGAGGAAGGGATTTTTTATGAAGGGGTTTGTTTTAAGATCTAAAATTTAATTTAAATTAAAAATTTGGATTTTCATATTTAAATAATTTATTTACTTCTACAATTTAAGGTGGACGCTGAGGCTGCAACTCCAGATTTTATTAAAAATGAAGAAATTATTCCGCTTCCTGAAAATATTAAAAATATGCCGTACAGCTCTAGTGTGCCCGATAATAAAAATAATATTAAAAATGTACCAAAAGCTATGATTTTAACCGACTTTCATATATTGTTAATGTATTCAGATCATATCACAGCCCTTTGTAGCTTAAATCAAGAAATAGTATATGAGGAAAATTTTGCTGAAAAATTTGGTGTCTTATTAAATATTATTAAAGACTTCAATACTGGAAAAATATATTGTTATACTTCTAAAGCAATATTTCGTTTTAAAATAACAAATGAGCAACGTGATATATGGAAAATTTATCTGGCTAAAAATGATTTAACTTTAGCTGAATACTATGCGAAGAATAACGTTGCACATCTAGATAAAGTTTTGCGCCAGAAAGCTGAAAACACATTTTTAGAAAAAAATTATATTGAAAGTGCAAATATATTTTCGGAAACGAAAATCAGTTTTGAAAAAGTTTGCTTGAAATTTTTGCAATTAGAAGATAAAAAGCCTCTAATGATATATCTTTACAATAGGTTAAATAAACTAGATCATAAAGACAAAACACAAATAACAATGTTAACAATATGGCTAATTGAATTGCATTTGGATAGGATTTCCAAAGCAAAAACAGGGAAAACAGAAGAACAGGATTCATTTAACTTGTTTATGTCAAATGAAAGGGTTCAAGAATGTTGTCGTACTAATTATACCGTTATTTATAGTTTAATTGAATCGCATGGAGATAAATTAAACTTAACGAATTTGACTATAGTATGTACTTATACATAATGAAAAAATATAAAATCTTAATTTATTCTTTTAAATTTTACCTATTTTTAGGCAAACAAAGACTATGAATCGGTTGTAACACAGTATATAAACGATGGAAACCTATTGAAAGCTTTAGAAACAATCAAAGCTGAGAGAAACCCTGAGTTATTCTATAAATATTGCCCTATTTTAATAGAAACTTATCCACAGAAAACGATACAAGCCATAATTGAACAAGAAAACCTAAATCCGGAAAAATTAATTCCAACTCTTATATGTACTAAAACTGATGAACATATATCACAAATAATTAGATATTTAGAATATGCAGTTTATGAAGGTGTACCCAATGTGTCTATTCACAATTATTTAATTAAACTATTAGCAATGAAAGATCAAGAAAAGTTACTTTATTATTTAAATACACAAGGTAGAGACTTGTCATCAATTCATTACGATGAAAACTATGCGTTAAGAGTTTGTGAAGAACATAATGCTAAAGAAGCAAGTGTATTTCTTCAATGTCTTTTACAATTATGGGAATCAGCTGTTGAATTAGCATTGACTTTCGATATCAAATTAGCTAAAAATACCGCATCACAACCAAATGATCCAGAATTGAAGAAAAAATTGTGGTTGAGAATAGGTAAAAGAAAAAACACCAAAAGTGCAGCGAATAGTTTTATTTTTCTTTTTTTTTTTAGCTGAACATGAAGTTAAAAGAAACGTTAATGTAAAAGAAGCGCTAAAGTTGCTTAAGGAATGTGATCTTTTAAAAATAGAAGATATATTGCCATTTTTTAACGATTTTACGAAAATCGATGATTTTAAAACGGCTATTTGTAATGCTTTAAAAGTAAGGTGCTTCAGATATTTGTTTGCTAAATATTAAAAAAAATTTCCCTTCTATTTTTATAAGGAATATAATTTAAGAATTCAAGAGTTACAGCATGACATGGATGAAGCTGGAAAAGCTGCAGAACGTGTTAGTGGAGGTAAAATGATAAAAATAAAAAACACAATAGATCTAAAATGATATTTTCAGAATTGCAAAGTTTACGTAACCAATCCGTGATAGTATCTGTAAAGGACCAATGTGAAATTTGTGAAATATTAATTTTAATGAGACCATTTTATTTATTTCCGTGTGGACATAAATTTCATTCAGATTGTTTAGAAAAGCAAATAATACCATATTTAAATCCAGAAGAAAATCGTAAATTAAGTTTATTAAAATCTCAATTAGAAAACTTATCGACAACAGTAATTTTAACAAATCAACCAACTGGGAATTCTGATTCACAATATAATCAGCAAATACAAAATAATTCACGTGAAAAAATTAAAATGCAAATAGAAGATATTTTAGCCGCAGATTGTTTATTTTGTGGAGTTATGATTGATTTTATTGGGAAACCTTTCATTGAAGATGATGACTGGGATCGAGTTAACATTGATTGGCAATAAATTTTCTTCCTTAAAGTGATCCATAACGTTCTTCAAAGTTACATTTTTCTTTCATAAAAATATTTCATATGCCAAATACTCCAATTAAATAACTAAACATCGCTAATTGAAAAAAAGTTTTTGACTTACTGGTTTTAAATTTTGCTTTAAATAATTTTTGTAATTTATGAAAAACTCTATCAATTGTTAAAATTTATAAAATAATTATTAATTTAGGTGAAAAATTAAAAATAATTGATGCGCAATCTCTGATTGTATATAAGATTGATGTTTTTGTATTTTAAAATTAAGTACATTTAACTAATTTTTTTATTAATTTTTGTTTATATGTATCGAAATCATGTGCATAGAGAAATTTTCATGAAAAATTTAATATAAAGTAGGTATATAAAATTTTCTGAAACTACGCTAATATTGCTTTGTATAAGATATATTTTAGTAATATTATTAATAAAATATTCATTCAGCAAAAATATTGTATGTAATATAATTATTTTAAAATAAGCATATTCAGTTAATATTTTTCCAGCTTTGTCTTATACTAATTAAGCGGGAAATTATTCAACTCGGTATGACTTGTTTGAATTTTGCCTAAAAGAAATTGCCAAATTATTAAAAAAATATCAATACTTGATACGTATTTAAAACAAAATTTTATTTTTTTAATATAATTATCTATTAATCACATAGTCGGTGCGAATTTTAGAGAACTTTTTACCAAAGTAAATGGTTATAGAAATATCAAAATATTAATATGTATATAAAAATAATAAAATATTATTTTATAAAATTTGATTTTCTAATAAGATTTTTTAATCAAGTATTTTTAATTTCATTTCATTTGTAAGATATCCAGCTACAGTTTTAAGAACTACATCTTGTATAGCATGATTGTTGGCCACAAGAGCTAAGATAGCGGCAACATCTGTTGGATGAAATTCTTGAACAGCTAACATGATTTTTTCCACTAAAGTTTCTCTTTGCACGGTAGTCAAATCATTTTTAATAACTTCACTAACAGGTTTAAATTTGTCTGAAAATTGGTTAAAAATTTATATTTTATTATTACTTTAATATTATTGTTCAAACAATTCATACCTTTCGTTAACATTGCAGCTCCAAGTCCTCCTAAAGTCCCGCCAACCGCCAAACCAAATGGACCCGCTACAATACCTATTTTTTTTTATAAATTATTAATTAATAAAAAAAAATTCCAATTTGTACTTTATAAATTTTTTGGATTACTATTTATGCAAAACATAAAATGTTACGGTGATGTTGGTATGTATGTTTGTACAGAATACAAGAGCACATATGTACGTAATTTAAAGTTTTCATGAATAATAAGTGTACTTTTTTTAGTAAGTTGAGTAGAGCTATTATATTATATGTATACAAAATTTTGAGAATAGGGTTAAGAAGAGTTAAGAATTTATTTATATTTCGTTTATATTTCTTTAAATACCTTTATATAACAAAAGTTAATGTATCACAAACTGTCATATCACTGTTAATTAATAAATTATATTACAAATAAATACAAAGCATCTAATTTGCGATTTGCATGTGAAGTTCTTTTGTTACGAATTGCATTACTGTCTTTAAAACAAGTTGTTTTGTACAAGGGTTTCCCGATACTAAAGTAATTAAAGTAATTGCATCCATTATATCTAAATCTCTGATAACATTTTGTATTTTTTGTGCTAATATTTGACGATTCTTATTGTCCATTTCCATTATAACTGCACTGATTGTTTTAAATTTGCCTAGATTAAAATTTAAGTATTAAAATTAGTTTTAGAATTTATATGGCAATTAATAATAACCTTTGGTTAATTGAGCAGCAATTATCCCACCTACTGTACCACCAACAGCTAATCCAAGTGGACCTGCTATCAAACCTGTTTGAATAGCAAGGGATCCGATTAATTGAACGAATAATTTGTAAAAAAAAGTTAAACAAAGAAAAAAAACAATCATATAAGTAAGTAGATTATCTTTGCTAAATATGTGTAAGCCTATAAATATATCTATTAGGTAGATATATAAATAGAATTTCAATATAAATACCTAATTAAAAATGAAAAACTAATAAAGGAGCTAATTCAGTTCTCATATTAACAAATAAATTTCTAATTCTATTTAAAAAATTTCCAAAAATAATTAAAAAAAATTCAATTAGAAATTCCATAAAAAAACCAATGTCATTGTATTGCCTCGGCTTTGAGAAAGTTATACATTTGGGATTTGACATTGAACCGAATATTTGATTTTTATAGGAAATGAAATGATATGCGATATTATAAAGGATGTATAAAATTTAATGTTGTAGAATTAAAAAACAATTAACTTACCGCCAATAAAACAAGCAGTTGCGCAAACCAATGTGCCTAAAATTTTTGTTTAAAAATTATTTAAAGAAAACTAAATTGTATGTACAATGTAGTTATGTAGATAAGTTTTATACCTTTTCCTGTTTCTTTAATTGTAACTTTCATATTTTCCTCATCCAGTAAAATAGATAAGCCATCTAAAAGTTCTTTAGTGTTGATAGGCATTTTTATCAGTTCCTTTTTGATTTGGTGAACTTTATAAAAATATGAATCACTATATAATTTTAATTCAACGTAATACGATGATATTATATTTTCTATTTCGAAACCTTCTTTTTTGTTTCAAATTTTTTATTTTTTATATTTTTTATTTTGTAATGTTTGTATATTTTAATTACTGCACTTTACAAGTATTTAATACTCTGTAACTAGCAATGTTTTTAATTTTTTGAACGAATGGACTTTGTGCAGCCGATGAAAATAATTTTTATACTTTTTTTTCAAAGGTAAAATCCCAAAAAAAATAACAAATCCACAATCCACAATTTATTCACAATTGAATCGAAAGTAAATAAAAAACATATGGCGGTAGTATTGCCACAAGTGACATTTTTTCTTTAATTCTACGACTATAATGGACTGTCAAATTATTTTCTCTTTGACATGCATATGGATTTTCAATTTTATTTATTTTTTTAATTTTTCATGGAAATTAATGGTTTTTAATATATTGATTTGGTTGATAATTAAATGAGAAAAGTTTTTCAGGTGGTTGAAAACATTTAAAAAAAATTTTTTAAATATTTAATAATAAAACAAAAAGTGCTTCGAATCGGTAAAATAATTCTCGTTCAAAAGTAAAGGATTTTTCGTTATTCATTTTAATAAACGTTTTTCCTATTGTGAATGCTTAAACTAACAATAGTAAATGAATATAATGTGTTGAAGAATTATTTACAATATTTTTGTTTTATTTTTTTAAGGCTAATATGCATTTTGCTTAATCAAACCATAATATCTTTGTCATATTCCAATATACTTTAATATATTTTGAAATTTATGATTTCCTCAAAATACTTATATTTATTACAGCTTAGTTGAATATTATTTTTTAAATGTCATATTTCATATAGAGCACTATATTCATACAAAAAGAAACATCAAATTCACATTGCACCGCAGAAAAACAGGTTATTATGGTGTGAAAAAACTACGATCGATTTCGATGCATCTTTTCTGATTATATTGCTATTAACATCAAATAATGATTACCGAAAAAATTAAAATTTCGAAAAGTAATTTCTAGTTTTATATGTACATATGTATATTGACATTTATATATTTACTCTTTTTTAACTCTTAAATTCATTATAATAATATTGCAAATTGTAAAAGTTCTTAAAAGCAGCAGCAAAGAGCAGGAAAAGCTATGCATGTTTTACATTATTTGACATTAAGCTCTTATACTATATTTTATTATTACATTGAATGCACTATGCAAACAAAATTTTAAAGTATAAATGACCAGAAAATGGTAAAAAAAAAACAAAAATAATAAAAACAAAAAACATAAAAGAAACAAATAAAAAAAGTGTTACACATAACCAGGTTTCAAGAGAACTAAAATTTAAAAGCTCACGTTTTTTTTTTAAAGTATTGTTTTGGTTGGTTAGGTTGGTTGGTTTGCCATTAAAATGTGCTCACATTCAACCACAATAATTAAGTGATATTCAAGAAGTTTTTCGTTTAAGTCTTTGGTTTTTTCTTTTTTGTTAATTTTTGATAAAATCGTACGGTTATTTTTAGATCGTCGGTTAGTTTTTGATTACATGCGATTGCGTTAAGTTTAGTTTTTGGGTCGTGTTTCTGTTCTGCACTTATTATTTTCATTTTACCTCAATTTATATTTTATTTATAAAGAATATTTATTAATATTGGTATTTTTTTTTATATAAAAATACAATTTTAATTATTTCGAATTTAATTGTATGAAGTTTAAAAAAAAATATTATGATCAATTAAGTTTAAGTTGGTGATAAATAAAAGTGTTGGTAAAATAATTATTTGATCGTAAAAAAATATATATATATGCATACATACACATATTATATACGAAATCATTAATTCTAAAAAAGAATAAATATTTTTATTGTTATTTTTATGTGCTTTAATTTTGTTTTTTGATTACATTGTACAATAATAAAATAATAATGAGAAATCTTTTGTGAATCATTAATTTGTGCAATATAAAAACGAAAAGAATTTGAAAAATGAATAATCGAATGTAATAATTAAATAATAAAAATATAAAAAAAAAAATTCAATAAATTGCAAGATATTTAAATTTATTTTTTGTATTTTTTTAAGTTTTATTTAAATATAAGCTTTTGAGTACAAAACAAAAAACAAGTTATATTGGTTGATAGCAGTTATTTACATTACAAACATATTTTTTAATATATTAACGTCGTTGAGCTTTTAAAATATTCCAAGGTAAATGAAAATAAATATAGATTTTTATTGCAATATTGTTATTTTTAAAAAAATGCAATCGAAATTAAAAATATAAATTTTTAAATATAAAATTTTAAATTTTAATCAAAAATACCGTTATCACAATGAGTAATTTCTTTTAGCATTCAATAGATGGCTATTCACCTTGAACTCATTTCTATAAATTGTTTAATATAAATTTGATTATGCTAATAATAATTTAAAAGTGAAAATGCAATCATATGTGTATAGTCATTTTATTATTAATTCTGTAAAAAATTGTTAAAAGAAAATTAATGCAATTAGGTTTAAAATTCAATAAAAAGCCTCTACGACTCATAGTTTCCTCTTTTATTTTACTAAATTTTTTGACTCCAGAATTAAAGACACTAGAATAGAATACGTTCTTTAAATTTAATTTAAATAACAGTATATAATATTAAAGCCAAATTTTCCAATTTTAAGAAAAATTTTTAAGAATTCCTATGTAAATTTAATTATGCTGTTATTATTTTTCACACATACGTGATAATATTTCAAATATAGATGATACTTGTGTTGTTTTTGCTCTATGATACTCGTAGTTTGATCGCGATTTTCTGATTTTGAATGAAATTTTTTTCTGTTTAATGTAAATAAAATATTTTAGAATATCGTATTCTTACTATTTAAATTATAAAAATAGTACTTGTTAAGTTACTAAATAGCAGATGTATGTAATAGACGATAATATAAAAACTGTTAACATTATTTTAAGAGCAAATGGTAATATGATGAAAGTATTTATTTTACTGTACAATGCAAGTAAATATCATGCAAACTATTGTCTGTTAACAATTTTATTTCTCTCTTGGAAATGCCAATGCGATATATTGTATTTCAGTGTGCGTCAAAATTAGAAATAAAATCGATTAATGGGAATAATTTATTTCGATGTCTTTTGTCCTCGTTGTCAATTTATGAAATATTGCCTGAATTGTTTTATTAAAGAATGTTAAATTCTGGGAACAAGCTGAAAGTTACTAGATTTTGTTCAAATAATTTGAAAAAAAAATTTCACCTTATAAAATTTTATTGAATCGATACTTTGGATTTTTATTCTTATGACCATACTTCCCGCTTCATTCAAAATTTTCAGGTAGCTATTTTTTTTTTGTCTACATTTTATAATTAAATAAAAGGTAAAATTATATAAAATTTTTTATTTCCGTCAACTTAATTAAAATTATTAATGCTATACTACCTACATAATGTATAGGCCAATTTTTTTTTTCTCTTCTCAAAAATACTCCAAATTTTCTAATTTATATTCCATATATTGGTCATGAAGTTCACATTGTGATGTCATTTATGCATTTTATATAATATTATGCATTCATTAATAAACAAAAAAGTTAAAACTTTTGAAGTAAGCAAGGTTAATCAGCAAAAATAAAAATTTTAAGTTCGATTACTTACATATTAAGTATTTTGAATGCATTCTTTAAAGATTTTCAAGTTCAATTCGATTATAAATCGAATAAATCGATTTGGTTTTTTTTTATTTTCGAAAAAAAAAAATTTTTTGATTTTAACTTTATAAACTAATAAATTTTCTCAAGGTACATACATAGTTATAATGGCCAACCTATAATTTTTGTATGATATTATATAAGAGTCAAGGAATTTCAATTTATTTGTTGTTATATTGGGATTTTTTATTAGGTAGGTTGTGTTATTTTTTTTATGGGAATAATTATTTGACATTAAAATTATTGTTATGTAATAAAAATGTATAATTTTGTTAGAATTTATTGTAAAACTATTCATGGCTTCAAAATTATAGGAGTATTGTATAATGCTGAACATTTCATGAACTACACATAATTTAAAAGTAAATTTCTATATTGCTGAATTGAATGTACAAACCGCAGTACTGCATAATGGAACTCAAAATATGTGTGGTAAATTTATTTAATTTAAGTGTGTCAATGGGTTAATACTTTTTTCTAATAGCAAATGATGTTTAAATGCGTATATATATACATTTAATTATTACAAATAATCAATTTATAACAGAAAGTACGGCGATTATGATTGTAATTTACCTACTTATTGTTATAAGCCTTTAAAAGCTATACATTTAAAAATTAATTTACCACAATTTAAAATTAATTGAATTTTTATTTCTTTAATATTACAAAATTTAAAATTTTTTTTTCTTAATTTCATTTAATTATAATTTACAAGTATGTGCATAAGTATACACGCAGTGAATAATCTTTATATTTCATTTTAAACACTTCCCATCAAATATCAATCACAATTAGTAATGTTTTCAAAATTTTTATGTTTTCTTTCACAATTTCATATTGCTGCAGTATATAATATTGTAGCTGGTATAATAATAATCTCATCATCACATTTTAATTGAATCATTTTCTAAGCTGTATAGATAAAAAAGAAAATATCTTCAAAAGTAAAGAAAAAAAAACAAGTAAGTTAATAATAATATTAATAAATCTCCAATTACAAATTTTAACACTTTTTGACAGGTTTTGTATTGTTATATTCTTTAATAATGTTATACTGGATTACTGCAATTATTATGTAAAAAAAAAACAAACAATAGAAAAGCCGGTATACAACCTAATATACTTGAAGTTTTTTATTAGATCTTTATTAAAAAATAGTTTTTCATATATTTTTTGATTGTGGTTATTTTTGAAAATGATTGTTATGAAGAATTTTTGGAGAAGTGGGTATTAAATAAACAAATATTTAATGGGAAATCTTAATAAATAAAGTTTTGCGTGTCTATATTTTTTGGTGGGTCCAATCCGTTGATTGGGAGTTTGTCTTTTATTAATGTAAAGATTTTGTTCAAATTGGTACAAATTACACTGATTTTCTCTTAATTGAAAAATGAATATTTTATTTAGTGCTCTAATGGTGTTTAACTGCAATATATAATTAAAATGTTGTTAAAATAACACCAAAGCTTTTGAAAATTAGAAATTATTACATTAATTTACTTATTACTAGATCAAGTTCGCGATATTGGGTCGAACTTAATAGCGGTTTAGCGTGCTAAATTTAGATCAATTATTCTTGTGAAAAAATGCAATATTTACATTTAAGTCATTCACAGCTTTCATAGCTCAATTCGGAAATTTAAATTTGATGCAAAACTAATAACTTATTATTGAATATTTGTTGACTTGTAATTTTTGCTATTTTGTAACTTAGAAATGAATTTGCTGAAAATAATGTTTTATTTTTATTTAAATAAAGATAATATTTTCGTAGTTCATATTGTTAAAAATTAATAATTTGTGAATTAAATCACTAATAAATCTTATTCAAATTAGTGAACATACAACTAGTGAAAATTTATTATTGCTATAGACAAAATTTAAATTCTTAGCTATAAAATTAATATTGATTAAAAGTTAACTATAATTTTTATAGTTTAATGAAATTTGTATCAAACAACCTTAATAAAGCAATTGGCCTTTTTGTTTATGATTTGCACATGCTCTTAATCAATTTATAATAAGAATGCCCACAAATTAAGGTTTTACAACGGTATTTTATTTAAAATATACCCATATAATATTTAATCGTTTGACCAAATTGGAATTGACCTAATTTTCTCATAACACTTTCTTTTTTTTTTGTATTTGTTTTTATGGTTGTAAACACCTTAATAAAGAGGAGCGCGAAAAATTTGAATTTTTTTGCCAAAAATTATTTTTGGTTTTTACATAAAATTTATCAAATACAATCTGAAACTGATATACTTATATATACTTAGTTTAATAAAAACTTTTAAAAAATTCAAATTTTTTTATTGTTGTATTATAGTTTAACTGTTTTAAAATTCTAATAAAATATAAAAATACGGAAATTTAGAAACTAATAGTTTTCTAAATTCATGTCACTTGATTATTGAAAATTGTGTCACAATTTAGTATAACTCAAATAAAATTGAAATTAGAAATTTACCAATAATTATTTCAGAACTTCATATGACAAACGCATCTATCTACGTAACACGGCCCCCGAAAGGTCCGTACGTATATGTAGATTAATTCTTATTTCGACAAATAAAATTAAATTAATTCCTTGCTGTTTTACAAGGTCTCACATGCAGTCGAAAATAAACTTTAGCTTTCATTCTCTTTGATATTCTATAGTTAAATTTAGTATAATAGTCTAGTTCTTCTTATTCTTTCTCTTTAATATTTTATTTAAAGAACATATTATAATATAATGGAGTGTAAATTTTTTAAGCCTATCGAACAGTATAAGTTTTAAAATATTGAAGGCAATGTAAATTTCATTAGGTTATAAGTCGAAATTCAGGATTATGTAAAATTTACAACCTGCATATATAGTATGCCTGAGTATATAACAAATTAAGACAGAAAATGGTACGAAGTAGGTATATGTAAATAAAACAATTTGACCTGAAATTCAACCTAATTTTTCAGCCTAATTAAATTTTTTAGCCAACCTAAATGAAAAATCTTTGAATTTTAATAATTTATTTAATATTTATGTAGTATATTAAGTTCTGTATGTCACCCTATACATTTTTCTATATAGTTATGTTGTACATGTGTGTGTGTGCTGATTGTTTTCAAAAGTTCATTTTACAAAAAATTTTGCAAATTAGGATAAAGCTCATAAAATAAGGTTTTGCTTTTTTTCTCAAAATTTTTCCTTTTCTATTAAAAAAAACCCACCTATATAAATAAATTTATCTATTTACACTATATAATTAAGTTCAAATTTAAATCTATGCTATTAATGGAATTTATTATTTAATTTAAAGAAAAAATGCAAAAAAAAAATAGGAAAAAATTGGATTAAATAACGGATTACAGAAAATTGAGCTTGAAATATTTGGAAGTTGGTATTTATTTGGGTATTTTTTGGGTTTAGGTATGGCGGGGTTCATTTATTACATCATGTAAAACAACAAATAAAATCTTATTTAATTCAATTGATTAAAT